CATTGTAAGATCAAATTAAAACCTCTTCTAATGCATCCCGTCCCTCTGATGTCACATACTGTACTGAGATACACAGCTTTTTAAGTTGACTGCAGGAACAAAAAGTTCTCTTTCTATCGGAGACCCAGCTGGGCCATTTGATTGTCAAATTATGACCATAGGCCCTTTTAAATGAGTCCATATGTGTCTGCTATCTACTAGCTCGATTATCTTCATAAGTCAACCCTAGCAAAAGAAGCTGGGAGGTCTTTACCTTAACTATCCCCTCAGGAACAATCACAGAAAGTTAATCTGAAGGTATGAAGGTCTCCACATACTGTTACCCAGAAGAGTGTTTATCAACAAAGGAGTGTCTTCAGTCAAATACTTTTGCAGATCCGGTGCAAGACAGGCCGTGATAGAAGATACTAAGCTATTAACATACAGTACCCAACAACTCATTGTGGAAACCCTATGAGTTAAGACAGCATTGAATTTACAGATATCAAATTGCTTTGTGTTTCACTTTGAAAATAGTTTGAACCCAACTTTTTGGGGATTTTAAAGGCACAAAGACAGCCCAGTACCATTGCTGATACCTGTACCACAAGTTGTGCAACATGGCTGTGCCATTAACATTTTTCAGACAATTAAAGAATTTATAATTTATTATTTCTGTGTAAAAGTGTTTCATTAAATGTAGCTATATATTAAAAAAAAAATTTAATTTAGGTCAATACTCAGGATGTCACCTTTTTTTAAAAGGAAAACCCTACTTTGGAGACCACTGCATTAGAGTTAACTTTTTTGATAAGTTTAATATGCCTAAACACAGAACAGTATGGACACAGTACTTCTGCATACTTTGTAAGCAGTGTAATCGCACGGGGGTCATGGCTGAAGAGAATTAACAAAATGACTCATTTTGATTTTTTGTTATGTATTGATAGTAATTTTGAAATCATCATACAGTTAAATGACCAGTTAAAGTGAAAATAACAAAAATAAACCTACCACCTTTAAAATGTCATTTTTGTAAGGTGGTAGGTGCAATATCAAATTTACTGCAGATGAATTTTGCTATAGTACAATCTATTTATTTTCAAAAAGCATATACAACACTGGAAGTTTCATTTCTTTAAACCCTTTTCATAACATGGTAAACAAGCATACCTTAAGTAAACTTTCAGCTCCAGAGGTTCAAACAAAGGGCACAAACAATGTCACTTCAAGCAAAGGCTTGCACAGATGGGAAAACTAAAAGCTAAAGTATAAATGACTTTCTGTAAAGGGGGAGCCACCATAAAAGATGCTTGAATGTATATCCTTTCCTTTTTTTGTCTTTCTTATCAAATATCACTCTTATTCATGCTCTCAGTGTGTGGAAATAATAACAGCACAATGATAAAAACATATTTTGAGTAGTGTCAGAACTGGTCTTTCAAAGCATATTTGAATGATGAATTAAACAAAAATTCTTTGAGAATTTAGATTTAGATAATTATGATTTACTCTAAATTATATATAAGTATAAAATGTGATGTGAGATAGAAATGTGTATGTTTTTGAGTCACCAACGCCGTAGGTGGGGGAGTCACATGTTTTATCCTAACTCCATAAATGTCAATTCCTGATAACAGTAATACCACAACTGTGTGTCCACCTACGCAGAGGCATCTGGTCCTTTACTATACATATGCACACTGGCGAAGGGTTACATACACACACGTTTTGTATTGAAAGCGGTAATAGTAATAACAGAGACTTGTCTCGCTGAATCATTTTGATTTCCTGTAATACAAAAGCTAATGTTTACTCATCAGACAACCAGAAGGCTTGCTGACAAGACATTTGAGGAAAAAGGATTTACGGTTGATGAAAAAGAAAGCATTCCAGACTGTGATTTTGGTCAAAGTTTGTGAAAGGGATGTGGTTTAAGTGTGAGGGAAGTAAACGCAGAGATCGAAACTTAGGACCACAGAAGTAAAACATTACAATGCTTCAATGTCATCTACCTTGTGCTTTGACATTTAAGACATAAGCAGAAAGAGGAATTCTCCAATCTTAATTTTTGTATCCTTTGTTTGAGGCACAGGACTAGTGTGCAGCCTAGATTGGGCAAAGTCAGGCTATGAGCATTAGAGGTTCACAAATAGACGATAAGACCTGAGGTCTCATCTCAATCAAGACTGATGGGAATGAATCATTTTTTATACAGTGATCTCTTATTACATTTATAGTAATAAATTGTTATGTGCCTGAATGAATTGCTGCTTTAATTTGGCCCCAAGCTTTTTGCCAAAGGGAAATCTAAAAGTAGCGAAGTACAGGTGCTGGTCATAAAATTAGAATATCATGAAAAAGTAGATTGATTTCAGTAATTCCATTTAAAAAGTGAAACTTGTATATTATATTCATACATTACATACAAACTCATATATTTCAGATGTTTATTTTGTTTAATTTTGATGATTACAAATGACAACAAATGAAAATCTCAAATTCATCATATCAGAAAATTAGAATATTACTGAAGACCAATAAAAACAAAGGATTTATAGAAATGTTGGCCAACTGAAAAGTATGAACATGAAAAGTATGAGCATGTACAGCACTCAGTATTTAGTTGGGCCTCCTTTGGCCTGTATTACTGCAGCAATGCGGCGTGGCATGGAGTCGATCAGTCTGTGGCACTGCTCAGGTGTTATGATAGCCCAGGTTGCTCTAATAGTGGCTTTTAGCTCTTCTGAATTGTTGGGTCTGGTGTATTGCATCTTCTTCTTCACAATACCCCATAGATTTTCTATGGGGTTAAGGTCAGGAGAGTTTGCTGGCCAATTAAGAACAGGGATACCATGGTCCTTCAACCAGGTACTGGTAGCTTTGGCACTGTGTGCAGGTGCCAAGTCCTGTTGGAAAATGAAATCTGCATCTCCAAAAAGTTGGTCAGCTGCAGGAAGCATGAAGTGCTCTAAAACTTCCTGGTATGTGGCTGCGTTGACCCTGGACCTCAGAAAACACAATGGACCAACACCAGCAGATGACATGGCACCCCAAACCATCACTGACTGTGGAAACTTTACACTGGACTTCAAGCAACGTGGATGAAGTGCCTCTCTTCTTTTCCTCCAGACTCTGGGACCTTGATTTCCAAAGGAAATGCAAAATTTACTTTCATCAGAGAACATGACTTTGGATCACTCACCAGCAGTCCAGTCCTGTTTCTCTTTAGCCCAGGCAAGACGCTTCTGACGCTGTCTGTGGTTCAAGAGTGGCTTGACACAAGGAATGCGACAGCAGAAACCCATGTCTTTCATACGTCTGTGTGTGGTGGTTCTTGAAGCACTCACTCCAGCTGCAGTCCACTCTTTGTGAATCTCCCCCACATTTTTGAAGGGGTTTTGTTTCACAATCCTCTCCAGGGTGCGGTTATCTCTCTTGCTTGTACACTTTTTTCGACCACATCTTTTCCTTCCCTTCGCCTCTCTATTAATGTGCTTGGACACTGAGCTCTGTGAACAGCCAGCCTCTTTAGCGATGACCTTTTGTGTCTTGCCCTCCTTGTGCAAGGTGTCGATGGTCGTCTTTTGGACAACTGTCAAGTCAGCAGTCTTCCCCATGATTGTGTAGCCTATAGAACTAGACTGAAAGACCATTTAAAGGCTTTTGCAGGTGGTTTGAGTTAATTAGCTGATTAGAGTGTGGCACCAGGGGCCATCAATTTTGAACCTTTTCACAATATTCTAATTTTCTGATATGATGAATTTGAGATTTTCATTTGTTGTCATTTGTAATCATCAAAATTAAACAAAATAAACATCTGAAATATATGAGTTTGTATGTAATGTATGAATATAATATACAAGTTTCACTTTTTAAATGGAATTACTGAAATCAATCTACTTTTTCATGATATTCTAATTTTATGACCAGCACCTGTATAGCTAAATTATCCAGAAAAAAATACAGCAGGTGATGCTTTGAGCTCTTATGTGAAGCAACTACAACAAATATTTAACTTGGCTCTTGGTCAATTTTCTCTTTTGCATATTTGTTACCTATTAATAACCCATCCTTCTTCCATTTTTACCCATTTTCCTAAAGCACCACATGTGCAACAGTGTGTAATTCAGTTTTTTTCATTAACAGGTACAAATAAAATACTCAGATATCCAATGTACTTAAATTGGGTTATCATCATTATCAATGAATGAACCCATTATGTAGTTTTTGGACAGTGTGTCTCAATATATCTGATGTAAAACATCCAGATCCTTCCCATTTTGCCATGAATGCTGCTCTTTGACAGAAAACCAAATGAGATGTTTAATCATTACTTTTTGACTTAAACTCAAGAACACTGGAGTTATGAAGTAGCAATATGAAGCAAGTAAACCAGCAAGTCCACCTAGGAATAAATAAGGTTGTTGAACTGGAGAAAAAAAATTTCTAAAATTCCTCCACAGCTATTCAAAATACTAAATGTAAGTTTTGCATCACTTTATGATGGTTGTTGCTAACAAGGTGGCACAACGGGTGTTGCTTTAGGTAGTAATGTTTTGCATACAATCAGGTTAGTTTTCGTTGCAGATTTCCTCAAATTTAAAACAAATGCTTGATATTTAATTTGTTTGATGAAAATAATTTAAGTGGAACTTCAAAATTTAATCGAAGACCCCATCTCCAAAGCACCTCATGCATGGGAACGACAGCTCCTTGTGTATAATCTGCAAACCGACCATCAAGGTAGTTTTCCTTCCCACTTGAGAGGCCGCTAGTTTCAGGTCAAGAGGAACAGGTATCATTTCCCTGTAAGTTACGGGATGAGTGACATTTTCCATTTAACGTAGCCCACATTCACTGAGGCAGTGCTTGAACCACAGATTGTTCTCTGATAATTTACTGTGCAACATTTGTCCCCTCCTGTTTTGTGGGCAAATACCACAAAGAAAGGCGTAGCTACAAACCCTTACATGTTGCATGTCTACAGGCTTGAATAAAAATGGGCCATAAAGTTGGAATAGTTTCAAAAATATTTATTACTCGGTTTGAAGAAATTTTAAACTATACAATATTTCACAAGCAACAGAACCGTCAAACAAAGGGCCGGAATAAACAAGATTTTTCTATCATACATCGAGACAAAATTTGGGGTCTTCAAAAATCTGCCTTAGAACAAATCAATATTATACATTTTTTTTTTCTGTAAGCATGCCTTATGTCTACTTTCTTTATCTTGTATGTCGAGTGTTGTTGATTATAAAGTAAATGAGCTGCATAAAGAACGTAGAATCAGAAATTGTCCCCAAATCCTGTTCACCAAAATATAGATTTACTGTTACCTGTGAATGAGAAGTATTCATTCAGACTGGCTTATCTCACAGACATATCAGTGTTTGTCTTAGGGGCCATTCTTCCTGTGCACCTGTGCTAGTACTTCCTGTCTCAGATTGCCCTCCACTCCGCTCATCTCCCCCACCCTCAAACCGCATCCTTCACACTGTCACAATAATATTTGCTGAAGAAGAAGAAAGAGAAAAAAAAAAAAAAAAAACAACATATGAACTTACTCCCCAGTCTTTGAAACGAACCTGTAAAATCTTACAGGGTCTTCCCCATCTCATCCCCTCAGTCTCAAAATCATTTACAGTAAACATGGATGCGGCAGTCTTTAGGCGTGATACAAATTCACAGCTTTACATTCACATTTATACCCATCCCGCTTATGTGCTTGTGTAGCTTTTTTTGCATGCTTTTCACTCCTGAATATGCTCCATGGGTCTCTGAGAAGGATAGTCAATTGTTGGAGAAGGGTTTTGTTCCTGAATGTGATCGTAGGCTCGCAGGTAGTGGCCAGCATTCTGTTGGTAATAGTAGATTAGCTTCTTGGCAAACACTGGCTCCACCTGTGGTGAAACAAAGCACAGAAGTTATGCTAGCCTCAGAGGTAAAGAGATATGAAACATGAACAATGAAAAAACAAAGTCAAATTCGTAGTTCGTGCACACTGCTCCGCAGGTGCTGGACAATGACAGCCCACTGCTCCCCAAGGAGATGGGTCAAATGTAGAGGTGAATTTCTTCAATGTGAGATTAATTAAGTAAAATTGTTTTTGTTTTTTTGTGGAGTGGCAGCATAGTGGTTAGAACATTGCAATTGGAATCCAGGGGTTCTGAGTTCAAGCCCCAATCCCACTGACTGCCCATAAGGGTCCCTGAGCAAAAGAGCCTTAACCCTACACTGCTCCCCAGGTGCCGCTCAATGGCAGCTCAATGGTATTTCGTTGCTCTGTACTTGTGACAGTGTAATGACAATAAAAAAGCAGAAAAAAAACCCAAAATAAATAAATAACTTAGCCCGTAAGGATAACTGAGAGTAAAAAATTTAATAAACTGAAATTACTTTCAAACAGCAATCTTTATTTCTTATTTTTGGGGGGTTGTTTTAATGCTTTTTTTCCCCTACATTTCGTACAAAAAAGGTTTGAGTTGTTAGGCTTTAGTAGAAAACAATAAAGGTCATATTAGTCATGGTTTGACTCATCTAAGGCACCTATTATCTAATTATATTGGATTTATCAGATCTTAACATCTCACTCATACATTTTCATGAAGCCCATTTACAAAGCATGATAAAGGAGTCTCACTTCAGCATTTTGCAAGGACAGTACTGTAAACTGTCTAAAAATAGCCACACGTGCATATAAATAATTTTATCAATTCATGGTCTGATTGTAATCAACACATCCATTTTCTGAGGATTGCAAAAGAATTGCATTAAAATTCTCAAATTAGCAGTGGCCATTTGCTGAATACTCCGTAGGATGCTAACATATCCCAATTAGTTTCATTGGGACATCCATTTACATACAAATAAACTATAAACTCTACTTTATACATAATAGAATCAAAATCACAATCAAGTTTATTGCCAAGTAGGTTTGCACTTACAAGGAAACTGACTTGGTGTTAAGAGCAGAACAAACTGATATATATGTATATATGTATATATATATATATATATATATATATATATATATATATATACATATATATATATATACATGTATATGTATATGTATATATATATATATATATATATATTTATATATATATATATATATATATAATGTGTGTGTGCAACAGAGTAAAGAATCTATAATTACATATAATATGAAATATCAATATAATATATGCAATATGTAGTACATAGGTATATAATATATACACAGTAGACTGTGTGTTAATGTAACACAGAAGGTCTGGAGGTGCTATGTTGGTGTATCTTGTAGTTTGTAATAAAGTATTTATATAATTTCTCTAGTTTTAGTATCTACTTTTAAAAACAGTTTTTTCTTACAAGGTAAAGGTTTAATGGTTAAAACATACCTGTGCTGTAATAAGTTTCCTGGGACGTTGTGGATCTGGATATTCATCTCCAAAGCAAAGCACCACCTGGTGTCGTGGAGGATGACGACCATTATGGGCAAAATCTTGTAGATCTGAAATTAAGAGAAGAAATGGATACATAATACTCCACATTTTCACAATGGACATTTAAAGAACATTCAAAGGCCCTACGTGTTTTACCGTATGACTTATCTTCTGTCACAATGACTTTTCTGGTATCTACTAGTGACTTTGATGGAAAGTCAGAGCGAAATGGCACAGAAAACTGTCTCTGTGTGGTGTGGACCACATGTGGGTGGGGACTCCACAAACTTTGGCCCCCCTGCTGAGAAGATGAGCGACTTCTTTGTGCTACATCGACACTATGGAGGGACTTACCCAACTAAAAAACCTGAGGATATTTTTAATTGTCATCAAAGCCATAATTATTCTAAATAACCCGAACCAAATTGCTTGCTACAAGGGAAAGTGTCTGATCTACTTAAAGGGATAGAAATCTGTGTTTAAAAATTGGTTAAAGAATTTTCTTGCCTCATTTAATATGAATGAGTCTCAAATCCTGTGTATCAAAGACTCTAACTATTGACAGTGCAATGACATAATTAAAGGATAAAATCTTCTGACCATTTTAAAAGTATATTGGCCAGAAGCAACCGTAATATCAGTAAGCGAGGGATAATATCTTGGAGTGAGGGATTGCCTTCAAGTCAATGAGTCGTTGCAATCAACTGGTTTTCCTTAGATAGAAAACTTTGAATCAATTTGACTATGATCTGGTGAACTGTAAAGTGCATAATTATAACTGGAGATAACATGAGTTGTGAGTTGACACTATAAAAATAAACTGAACTGAATTGAATTGGAACAAGTAACCGCAATATTGCTTCAAAGGACATATATATTTTCTCTAATAGTACTTACATTTCAATGTTTATCATTTCAATTACAATTGGGAAATTACAAAATAATAAATTAACAGCAACGTTACTCCCAGAGAGCTATTGGACAAGATATTGTCACATCTTTGCATAGTGCACTGTATGTGTGTACTGAAATAATTTGAGGAAACTATGCACACAGAGCAGAAAAGAAGAAGTGACAGGCCTTAAATACTAGCAGATTAACAGCATACAAGAGGCTGTGAATCAGAAGAAAGAATTGCAATGATCTCACACAGCATCTCAGGGAAGCATCGCCTTCTGGCTGAGGCTAAGCTGGGTAGAGCTGCATGTCTCTGCTTACCAATAAGAAACTGATGGGTGTCAAACAGTTTGCATGGCTGTTCCTTCTCCAGCTTGTTGGGTTTGTCCACATATGGAGCCAGAGGTCCTTCCCAGTACACCCGTCCCTGACACATGCGCTTGGCATACAGCCCGTCAGTTGTCATCCAAAGGAGCACTCCTTTCTCCAGGATGTTGGGAAGCATCTCAGCTCCTTGCCTCTGAGATTCAGGGAAGGGGGATGGAAAAAGAATGATTTCCGCACCACTGTGGAATCTGTCCTCTGGGCATGGAGAAGAGGAGGAGGAAGAGGATGGAGAGGATGTCGAGTTAGAGGTAATCCGACAACCTTCTGGGCTGCTGACAGTGACTTCCTTCACCAATGTTTCTCTGTAGTAAAGGGATACATGCAGGCTGAAATCTGCAAGGAGGAGAGAGAGACAAGTGTTTAAGGAATGCATCTAAAGGCAAATGACAGCAGCTTGACCTAACCTAACCTGTAGAAGTTAACCTTCTACATTCACTCTTGTCTTCCTAATAATCACTTTTTAATAATCACGTTAGTTTCTTTGTAGTTTCTCATTACAATATCAAACAGACTACAAATGCTGCATAAATGCATTCCAATTAGCTCAGAGTGTTTCTGTCATTTATACTTATATGGGAAAAAAACTCCACCTGATATGGCATTGTTGTGGTCCATCGTGTACATTGGTGGCTGAGACTCTGAAAGGTATGTGTGGAATGAGAGCTGAAAACCTGCAATAAAAAATATAAAGCAAGTAAATTAGGGGTGTAATAATTAATCGGATTAGTAGTGATTAATCGATTATTGAAATAATTGTCAACTAATTTAGTAATTGATTGGAGAAAAGAGACACTGAAATATGCCTTTAGCTGACAGAGCGACCCACCTTGAGCAGAAATTATACCAAAACTGTATAAAAAATATATGTTAACAATTTGCATTTAAGATAAAAATCATTTTCTGTTGTCAATATCCTCTATCCAGAACTCCTCAAGTGGAAAAGTTTTAGTTTCACCAAAGTTTCACAGAAAGTCTTCTTTAAGGAACCTTTCTCTATCTGATTAATAATCAATTAATCAAAAAAAATAATCGACAGATGAATCGATTTGCAAATTAATCGTTAGTTGCAGCCCTAAAGTAAATACAATAATTAAGAAATTGAGTGAGAGTTCACAAAAATATCAAATATTGAAGTTTTCTTAACTTACTTTTTATCCCCCAAACAAATGACTTAATACTTTTTATCTTATCAACTTGTAATAGAGAATTTTTTTTTGCATGTAAAAATAGGCTCGGCTCATATGTAGAAATCTATCCAAAACATAACACCATGAAGCTCTTGATTTACTTTTTTTTTTTAAACTACAGATTAGTAACTGAACAGATTAAACAGATTAAAGCCAATGCTGATATTTTATATGGATGATAACCTATAAAACTAATGTTCCAAAATCAAGGCCTTTACATAGTGACACAAACAGATGCTCAACATTTTGTTCTACTTGATAATTGAATTAAACTTTATTTATATCAAGTAATTTTATTTTAAGATATTAAAAAATAAAGCAGACAAAATCCTAATTGTGTTAAATGTAATTTAAATAATTTTAATTGTACACATGCTCACCATTTTCAGTGTGTGAACCAGGCCAAACTCTACTGATTGGTGACTGGTAGTGGCACTGACCATACTGCAAGTCAGTGTGTTGGCCATGGTGATTTGTGTTATGGAGAGAATGTTGTTCAGGCGGTGTATGATAGTCCCTCCAGTCCCTTCTTTCTGGAGAAAGCACAAAGCTGGGTACCTAAGAAGGAAAATGGCATGCCACTTAGAAAAATAATAAATTTCATGTTTTTTTTTTAGGATTGCTCGTTTGAGAGGCCTTTTTTATGATTGTTGTATAATCTACTAACCTGGTTGTGCAGAGACGTATATGGTGGAATGTATCCAACTGGGTGTGATGGCGTTTCCTCCATGCGGCTCATTTTCATGCCTTAATATAACAAACAACAGGTACAATAAATAATTTCTTGCCACATATTCTTGATTGGGGGAGGGTTATTTCATTTACCAGGTTAATAATAATGAGTGAGCTGTTGAGAGATACGCAATAATATTTCATGAACTTTGTCGGATGCAAAGTGTGAAATATTTCATGCACATGTATAATTCACTGTTTTATTTAAGGACATCTTGCAGAGAGACTGCAAAGAAAAACAGAGTGCATCAAGACCATATTGACAATTAATATAAAGTTCACACAGTTTAAAACTGCTCATGTGTAACAATGGCTGTTGTATGATGGCAGAAACTTAGTTATGCAAGGCTGAGGTTGTCTTGTTGTGTTGTGTGCACTCTGCGCTTAGTAACCGAAGCCCTCTAAAAAAAGCACTACGGCCTTTTTGGTTCATGCGTTTGCTTCCTGTGCTTCCTGCCTCATCAAAATCAGCAGTGGTGCAAAATGTATGAAAAAAAAAATCACCAGTAGAGTATAAACAGTGCAAGTTGCTGTGTGAAATGTGAATGTGTTTTGAACATTTTTGCAACTGCACAGGCTCGAAGCAGACTTTATGATTTGCTCTCAAAATCTAACCACAAATTATTTTACTCCCCATGTTCTCTAGTCTTAGATGAGCATGTTATTGATCTAGATTTTGACTGCTGGTTGCATGAAAAGCTTTTAAAACTCACCCTTTTTGGTTCCCTCTGGGATGATTCTGTAGACTTTGTATGGTTCTGAGATGTCCAGTTGGCTTCTTTCCACTATTTCATCAAAATCATTGCTCTTGTTAAGGGCACAGCGTAGTCTGGTTTTCCATGTGGGGGGGTCTGGCTTGTCAACTCCTTCCTTATGCTTGCCCTTAAACATCGCCCATGCCTGTTAACAGTAGCATCACACAATTCAAGAACTGACTGGATTTATTCTGAACTACCTCTTTATCAGGGACAAACTAAATTGAGACCATGTTACTCAAGCAAGAATAAACATTGTTAAAGTCAATACTTACAACTGAGTAAGTTTTGAACTTTTTTAAAATATTTGTGTGACATCGTTATCTTTAGAAACAGGTAAAAACTGGAGTGCCTTACCTTAAACAAAGCGGCATCCTCCTCTCGGTTGTAGTCTTGTTTTCCTGCATGTTTCCACGGAATCCTAAAGATGGTTTTCTCATCATTTTCCCAAACCAGGCCTGGATATCTCCTGCTGTCAATCTGCTCTATCAGCCACTGCCTCAGCTTGCCATTGCCGCAGCTGCCGGTCAGACCATTGTCTTCATCCAGGTTCATCTCTGCACATCAAATGAGTCAACATGATATTTTAAAACAAACAAAACAGAAATGTGGGCAAATTCTTATTTTTGCAAGTGAAATATTCCCAAATAAGCCTGATCTATTTCATTTACATAATTTATAACTGTACTTTCCAGTAAATAATGAGCAGTATTGTAACAGCAACCCAAATGTATTGGATTTAGTAAAAACTAATGCTGTTTCTTGCCCATAACTTTAGCTCAGCATTTTGAAGTGTATCACATTAATTACATGGCATTTATACATTCCAAATCATTGCTTTCACGTTGGCTGCATGCACATTGACAGGATGCAAGTATGGATGCTGAAATTAATGATTTCCCTCATCACGTTCTGTCCGAGAAAATAAATCTGACTCATTTAAAGACAAATGCACGAATCACAAAGCTTCAAAAAGTCAAACTCAACCAATAGGCAACGGAGTTCAAAAATATCTTAATTCCAGAAACAATAAAAAAAAATAGTTACCAAAGAAAATACTACATTGTTGGGGTTTTGCAGAAATAATAATAAAAAAAAACTTTTAGTTAACGTGATGCAATTAAAGTTCAGTTATATTCTAGTATTTAAAGTGAGATCATTTAAAATCGCTCTGCTGCAGCCTACCTTTAAGTGATGTAGGGTCCACCGCGGAAATCTGTAATGCGGCTCCCGGGGTCCTATAAACGTTATCATGTCTTGTTTTTTTTTTTTTTTTTTTTTGTTTCAAAGGGAGGAGTCTGTCGAAGGTTCAAGAGATGGAGAGCAAACGCGCCTCAATTTCTGTAAAACTCTCAGCGCAACCCACGCAGCTCAGAGGTGGGGAATCCCTTCAGTGACACCCTGGGATGGAATAATCATACCTGTACAGTCACACAAATATCCCCTACTTTTACTTCATTAAGCAATTTGAGTCCATTAGTTTCCACTGCAAGCCACAATCAGTGTAAAAAGCGCACATGTGAAGCAGTTAGTGTTAACATAATATTAATACATGCATTACATCAGCAAAGTATGTTTTTTGTTCTTTTAAAAAAAAATAAGCATGGCTATATATATAAAAAATAAAATAAACTGTCATCAAACTTGAATTGACTTGTTTAGTCAGTTAGAAATACTGCCCTCTAGAGGTTATATGTGTCACAATGCAGCATGTTTGCTATACAAGGAGAATTCTAAGTATGCAATTGCATTTGTATTGCAGTTCTGGAGCTAATGAAGAAAAGAGAGCCAAGGTGATGAAAGGGTGTGATCTCAGTGCGTATGGTGCCACCATGCATGACCTCCCTCGAACATGAGACAAACAGGAAGAGAACCAGGAAACCAAGTAGCAAAAGCGTACAGCGTGTGTCTTATCACCTTCAGCATGACAGACCATCGACCAACAACCACTACCCATGCACTTGTCTTTGCTTCTTTTAATTGTCTCTTTCAGATCATACAGACACAATGAAAATGTACAAGTAAAAAAAAAAAAGACACATCTTAAACACTTTGATCAATAAATGCTAAAAATGCTGATGAAATACAAGTGTGGAAAGATATTTCCACCATTATAAATGTGCATTTTATTAAATGTGTAAGAGAGATACAGAGGATTGTGTTTCTGTGGCTTTTACAACTTCTACTAAGGTGCAAATCTGTTCAGGACATCACGTTTGGTTGAGCTGTCAAAGATCTCCTCATCAGCTCTTATTAAACACCTTCAGGCAAAGTAGATGCATGTTGTTCCATCTCTTCTTTGTTGACTTTTGGCACCTTTGCCAGTAATTCTTGAATATCAGCCGTATCGTTAAAGGGGTTGTCCTTGTAGCTCTTTCGAAGCCATTCCCTGAACTTTAAACGGGGAGGGAAACATTCAGTAAGTGTCAATGTAACTAAAAGCTACAATCACACACAGAAAATAAAGATAATCAGATTAGTAATTGGAAGGTCCAAAATAATTTTTTAAAATCTTATTATTAATCGTATTAACCCTAAGAACTCCCACCCGTTTTGATCAATAAAGCCATTAACTAACAGTTTGCCTGTCATGCACTGATCAAAAAAAAAAAAAGTTAGAAATATGCTGATTAAATTGTATTAATCTTATATTTCCATCAATTTCTTTTGAAATAAAAAACTAGACTAAGTAATCAAAGAATGCACCATTTTTTCTATTTATGTTTTACCATCCCTGCAATAAACCAATATCAGTTACATAAAAAAGATGAAAGAAACAGTTCTCCATTTCTCAAACAACTCACCCCTTCAGCTTGAGTATCCTGAAACTCCTGCAGCTGCCTCTGGAAGCCCAGGTTGGGGTTGGCACAGGGCCGGACCACCTTCACAGCAGCGAGCACATCTTGCCAGCCCAGACCTGTCAAGGTCATGATGTAAGCTACCACCAGGGTGACACTGCGAGACACTCCTGCCAGACTGAGGGAAGACCAAGCTGCATGAGTTTCCCCAATATTCTATTTTGCATACTTTATTTTATAAATTGGGTGTTTAAATTATATAAATAACAAGTCAGATTTTAAAATTATTGTCATCATCCTGTTTCATCTATATCAAATTATAAATTATAAACCCACAGCAAACTTATAACTTATAACAAACAATAACTATGAGTCTAACGGATTATATCAGGTGGCAAAAATATATGATTCCCCTCTCATAACTCTGGCAAATAATGATTAAATGTCACTAAATCCAGAGTTTGTTGTTGATGAGGAGAGGAATAAACACAGTTAAAGACTTGAGGTGAATTCATTTCTTCCCATGCTATGGAGGGGGAACGGATTATTTCAGGCAGCTGAAATATCCATTCTCTTCTCTCCTCCTCCCACATCTTTGGGAAATAAAGAGCAAATGTTTCCAATTTCTCAAAAATTGTTATGTGTGATAGCATGTTGTATACTAGAAATGTACTTAATCCAGTAATCTGTCTAATTTTAAATTAGAACGGTATTAAGCAGAAAGTCTATACTCTCATGTTTTCATCTTAATTTTTTGTGCCCTGCTATCAGCCAGTTTCCTCTTATATCACCAATGAAAAATGATAAATAAACACTACGTGTTGGAAACTTTTTGGTGACTGACTTTTATTTCTGTCAAGCTGAAAAGACAAAAGTTGAAAACAGATTGATTCTCTTGGCGTTTAAAAAAAACAACACAAAACAGCTTAAAAATGTATTTATGAATTTTTACAATTTTGTAAACAACAGCTGCTGATTAAACTGGATGTTACAATCATGACGTGATTATGATGATTATGAATGGTTTTTAACGAGAACTCGTTCAGAAGCGCCGTGAAAATGGTCCCATCCGCCATGTCCACCTCCCTGGCTTCAATGCGTGCTCCCGACACAAACGGAACTTCATACAACACCGGGACAAAGAATGTCTGGAGGTCAGTCAGAGCTTCACATCCCTGGGACATCAGTAATAGCTATTGGTGACAACTTCTTCTGCACAGTAATGCTACAGGCTGCTTCCCTCTGCATGCTGCCACTATCTGGTGAATTCCGGTACTGCACAGTTTACTCAGACCAGCTCAGAAGCAAGATCCAACGCTCTTGGAGAAACATCAGGGGCTGTAGCCTAAGTAGCCACCCCTTAGATCCGCCACTGCTTTGCATGACCATGTTTTGAAATATCTGCTTTTACTGTCATATGATTGAAATGTAAGTTCTTCAGTTTGACCAAATAGCTCAGATTTTGTTGGGCCGGACGAAGACATTCGCGTGTTCCTTAAGTTCAATTCATATTTTAACTGGGCCGTTCTAAGACATGAAAATGATTTCATCGAAGTGACTGCATACATTTCCAGTGTGTTTAGGTTTGTTGTTTTTTTTGGATGATGAAGCAACGCCCCAAACTTCTTTCAACAAATAGAGTTTTTGTTTGAGAAAGGTTCTGTATTTAGCTTTACCCAACCTCCCACGAACCTGACTAGCTTCCCTTTCTTTGGTAAGTAAAGCCACCCCTTAGCCTGAGGCTGCCACCATGTTTGAATGTGGCAATGTTTGTCTAAGGGTGATCAGTGAGGTTACTTTTCCACCACACAGTTTTACATATATGAAAGAACATTACACTTTGGTCTCATCTAACCAGTGCAGGTTCATCCACACGTTGTTGACCCCCACATGGCTTCTGGCTAACCACAAATGAGACATTTTATGGCTTTCTTCAACAAAGTTCAACTTATGGCTTTCTTGTCAGAGTAATGTCATATTTTCCCCACCTGTTGGTGTACTGTATGTCGACAGGCATGTCTTAGTAGGTTAGCAGTTGTTTGTGCCATTACTTTTTCCATTTTAGGAAGATAATTTGAAGAGTGACCCATGAGGTGATAGTATACAGCAAAAACGATCTGGAAATAAGTAAAATGTCTTAAATTAGCTGTATTCACCCTTAATTTGAGCAGGTAAATAAGATGATTTCCCAATGGAATCAGTAATTTTACTCTTAAAATAATATAATAAGATAATTAGATACTAAGACATAAGAAATAAGACAATGCAATTATTTTTTCTTATTTTAAGTATAAATTGTCTTGTTACATTGGCAAAGTGTCTCACTTACCTCCTCATTCACTTAGTTTAAGAAAAAAATACTTATGTAGATTAAAATTTTTTGCAGTGTAGCAGTGGATATATCTTTTTCCATTTGAAGAAAAATGCCGTATAACAAATCACACTAACGTATGACAGTTTGCAAACATCGTGCACTTAGCATCTACTTCAAGTAATAAAAGAGATACATTTTTTTAACATACAGAACAACAGAACACATGATATTGGTGAGTAAGGCTCTTATCGTGAAAGTCTACAGGAAGTTTTGTCTCATTTTGTCTGAAGCAATCTTGTGATGTTTTAAATCAAATAGAAACTGAGCTGCTTAATTGGTAAAATATCTTTTACGTTTTGTGGCAGTCCCCCAGAGTCCTCCAGAGTATTAAGACATCACAGAAAACTAAATAGGAAATAAGTTAAAGAGACTTACAGATCAAAAAAATCTGTTGAAACGGTTACCACAATGAAAAACCCATCACATCAGGGCACAGAGACATAGTTAGGAAGTTTCCTTCTACAATGCAGTGAAAAACCAAACACCACTAGAAGCCAAATAAACATAACATTTAAAAAATTGAGAACTTTACAAAATACCTGGATTTATGCTAAGATTAAACCACATACAGCTCTGATCTATTTACAGATTGGTTGACATCTGAATGCATTTGGTTGCACTAGATTTCATTTAGGGCTATCTGATTAAAACAGGCCAAATACAAATGCGAACCACACTTTTAAGAATTTTACTAGTGAAAATTTGGAAAACCATGTATCACTTTCATTTCAGAAAATTATAATCTACTTCATGTTAATATATATCACCATAAATGCAAAAAATATATATTGATTATTGTGGGTGTAATACATGAACACATGATTAGGGTCTAAAAAAAATCATCTAATGAATAATAAATAGTTAAATGAAACCAAATCCAGTTTCTAAAACAAAAATGAAAGTAATACTCCCTTATATTGAACCATTTGGGCTTTTCTGAGTGACAGTGTTTCTCTCTGTTAGTTATGTATAAAATGTGAGCTTTGTTAATTTAATTAAGGCACGTTGAACTAAAACTGACAGTGGGTGGAGTTTTAAAGGCAAGACACAGCACTGATTAGTGACAGTTAGCAGTTGATAAACACCTGGAAGTGGACATAGATATGGCCATCTCAGTTAGCAGCAGTTATTTTCTGCCCATGTCAACTCCCTCCTGGATTTCAGTGTGAAACACAGATGCCACATTTGGTCTCTTACTGCTGTGAGTAATCATCTGAACTGTATAATCATGAAGGACTGCCAGCAGAAAACAGATAAGCTTAAAGTCTAAAAGAAAACCCAGAAAATACTTTATTTTCTTCCAACTTTATACTTAAAAAAGCCTGACACAGAAACCAACTTTGCACAGAGGAAGATGTTTGCAATTTTCCATTAAGAACCATTGTAGGGATTAAATACTTTTTTATAACTTAAAGGACCAAAATTTAAAAAAGGGAATTATTCAATATGATACCTATCAGATGAAACTAAAGAGAGTGACAGACTGATAGAAAATAAAACACAGGAACTACAGGGTTAAATAGTGGAAGTGGTATCTAAATGCTGATTAAATGGATACATAAAACTAAACCTGCTGCAGATGATCTTATCTTTAAGATTTTGTTTCTTTGAAGTCAAATTATTGAAATGAGAGACTTTTGACACATGGCTCCTATATAAATAATCTAATGGATTTCTGAGAAGACCCTCTGTTAAACCAAATATAGTTCTACACCAAACACTTGAGTGAACCATCACACCACACAAGCAATGTGGTAAGACTTGTTACTGTACTTCGTTTTGGGAAGTTCAAGAATAGGCCTTCCTTTTTTTCTTTTTTTTTTTTTTGTAAATGCTGCCACTGCAGCAGTTACACGTGGCTTCACTAGCGAGCACTGATCAGATATGAAAAAAAAAAAAAACTAAACACATATTTAAATTTGTGACTACATCCAACCGGAAAGCTCAATATACAATTTGCACTAACCAGTGAACGAGGCAGCCTACTCCTTTCAGCCGGGACTCGTGCATGAATGTTATACTCTGTTTGAAATGTTGAGTTCTATCAGGCAAGAGAAAAAGAAAAGAAAAAAACAACTTGTTATTGTAGGTCCAAGCACATAAACAGTGTGGAAACATCACAAGTTGTAGGCTACAGTGAAAACTACCCACAAGCAACTATGAAGCGAACTACTCATTTACACCTTGCAGAGGTGTTTACTTTATTTGAGTTTTATTTAGATGTTTTAAAGATCTGGCAATGATAAAGGAATAAGAAAAGAGTCAACTGAGGCACAATTAAAGTCCAATTAATTGTTTATGTTAAACCTAAATAGCACAAAAAAGGCTTTTTAGAGCGATTCAATTATGCATGTTTGTCAAAAATCCAGCAGACTATCCAAGCAAAACATACTCCTATCATTACCATCATGGTTTGCCATTCAAACTGGTATTTAATAGGTTTCTAAACACTAAACAACTGCCAGAATCTGAGAGTTTAAGTCAGTTTAAGCCTATGGGAAATTGGGTGATAGCTTTCACTCTTTTACACCATCCTAATTCTCTTGGTCACTTACAGAAAAAGTAACAAAGGAATGGTAAATGGCCTCGATTTGGATAGCACTTTATCAAGTCTGAGCGCTTCACACAACAAGTCATTCACCCATTCACACACACATATGTCACATGCTAATGGTGGTAAGCCCTAAGCACAGCTGCCTTGTAGCAGACTGACAGAATCCTCAAGGCTGCACCACTGCGCCACTAGCCCATCCTACCAATAGCAGGTAAGAAGTGCATCCTGGCTTGTCCTTTGTAGAACAGATGAAGTCAGGACGCACTCCTCAGGCTCGAGGTCAAGCCTCGCTTTAAATCTCTTATCCTGGGATTTTTGGATTCAGCTTTTGTGAAATAGGCCTCTGGCATTGGAAACACAGAGAAAATTTGGTTCATAAGAACGTTTTTGTTACTTACTACAACTGTTTCTTCAGATATATTTAACACCATAAGATAATATTCACATCTGCACTAATAAAAGGTGCAACATTTTACATACAGTATAGCTTTATTATCTATGCCAAAGGAATAATTGTTCATCAACAAGTTAATGTAGTATTGGTGCTTTGGTGCATCTGAAAGAAAAGGTTTACTGTCATACGTCAAGCTTGTAATATTCTATATTTTCAATGTTAGCTTTAGGAAAATGAACCTAAGACACTCACAGAGCAGAAACCCAGTGAATGCCCTCCTCTTTCTGTTTGCCTCAGTTGGCTTACAGTAGTACTTACAGATTCTGTGTAGGCATGTCTGCTGCAGAGAGGCACAGATAAGTCATCTCCTAGTGGACAAAACACACAGGTTACCTGTCAGCTGATATGAAATATTTGCATTTTTAACAAAAGTTCCGAAAAAAAAAACACATTAATAGTTTAATTTTAATGCCATAATTCTTCCCCCTGGATTTCATAGAAATATAAAATTGGGTCATATTTTTCACATAAATGTGCATCCATTTTCCATCACGCTTCATTCCAGCTGGGGCCACAAGGGTTCCTATCTCCAGCTGTCTATGGGCGAGAGGCCGGGTACAACCTGGACAGGTCGCCAGTCCATCGCAGGGCCATTTTTGATATACATATATTCTAGAAAAATGTGTGTTAGTGTAACTATAAATGCGTAATTGATTACAGCATTGTCTTACCTTAACTAGAAAAGTCCTGTCCATGTTTGAACACATTTATTCAGCAGCACAAAAATATAAAAAAATCCCTTGTTTAGAAGTTATTGAAGTAGAATCCATGGTGGACCAATTAGTGGTACCTCTGAAGATTAAGCATTATTTATCTATACTTTGCTTGTTAAAGATTCTCAGAACTCTATTAATCTGGGAACTTATGTTTGATTGTTGAAAACATGACACAGAGGTCACATTTGTTTAACCAATGGCTGCACAAATACCCATTCTAATGCTGCCACAACACTCAGTGAGCCGAACATTAAGGCAGATAAAAGAATCCTCACTGTAAGAGAACTAGAGCAAATATTGAAATCCTGAGAAAACGATACAATAATATTAATTTATGAATAGAATATTTAAGAAGTATGCAAGATTTTTCTTTTCTTCCAAATTATATGTAAAAGATGTTAAATTTACAAAACTGCACTGGTATGCTAATTGTTATTATGGGTTTTTATCAGAAAATACCTTGTTCTCACTGTTAGATAGATGATCTGTGATGCTATAGTCCTCCATCTCTTCAAAAGATCACAAGAACCTAGTTGGATTGCATGGCTTAGGAGCAATGCAATATATTAGGACATCTTAAATGAATGTCTTGTTGACTTTTCCAAAAGATTTTTAAAAAGGGTTGCCTTTGGATCTTTCAATAAGATAATCCTTCCAAAACATGTGGTGACTGCCAAAAAGGAAAACATCCAATCAGGAAATGTTGCTTGTTAAAAAGAAAAAACACTGAATAACTAATACTAAAAAAATATAAAGCTTCTGTGATATCTTTCTATTTTTGTATTACCTAAACAAAGCTGGTATTAGTACCTTGTAATATGCAAATAGGATGGTTTTCTAGTAAATGGTCATGTACTTAAAAAATGTTTGTGTTCAAATGTGAGAAGTTGTTTAGGCCTTTTAACTGTCATCAGTACCTCTACAATAAATTTAAATAACTAACGAGAAAAAGCATACAAGGCCAGTTCTAATTTAGTCTATAATGCTGTAGTCGCTTCATATTGATTTGCTGTTTAACCAAGTTAATTCACCTTGAGTTTACTCTCTGATTTGTAGTGTCACACATGATGCCATCTCCCCCTGCTGTTAGACAGTTATGTTATATGGTGTTGTCTGGATGTGTTGGAAAATTTCATTCCCGCTGTGCTTAACTGTCCTAAATCGAGTTGTGTAAATGTTTGTTTTCTTCCCTTTAAATACTGCATTTCATCATGGTTGGAGATTTTTGGACATATTTGAACGTTGGTCTCTGATTTTATGTTAGAAGTGTCATCCTGTATGTGTTGGAGATGCTGAAAATGATAATAGAGCCACTATTTGCTGCACCATCAGATGAGTGTTTCTAGCATTACACAAATGTTGATGTGAAAGTTTACATACCCTCCTATTATAGAAAATTATAAATTCACACTAATAATGCAAGTAACAAAATTGGGGGGAAAAAATTAGTTTAGTCGAATAAAATTTTGATTAAAATCTAAAAATAAAAAATAAAAAAAAACTGTCCCAGACAAAGAAAAATGCCTTGCTCATGAACAGTAAACCAACATACCTGTCAACAGGTGCAGAAGAGCTACTGATCATCTCCTGAACATTTACAAAAAGCACCTTATTTCAGTGATTGCTTCAAAGTTTTGCTCAACAACGTTTCAGTTCAGGAACCCAATCAGGCTTGTTTATTTATTCATATATACATACGTACGTACGTACGTACGTACGTACGTACGTACGTACGTACGTACGTACGTACGTATGTATGTATGTATGTATGTATACATAAGCAGTAGGGATGGAACGGTTTATGAAAACCGTCCAAACCGTTCGGTTCGATTCACGTGTGTTGCGTTCGGTTCATCCGCTGTTCCTTTTTCTCATAGGCGAAGCGTTTACACTCCAGAGCAGAAGGTGGAGGTATTGCGTCCAAAGCCAACCACCAGTAGTAAACAAGAAGAAGAAGAAGCAAAGCAGCGTAGCCGGGTGTAGCAGAAAAAAATCAGTTGTTGTGGAGTTTTGTGTGGGTATGGCGAGTGGGAAAGAATAGAGTTGGAAGACGCGCCAGCAGCACTTTATAGGTCTGCTTTATGGGACCACTTTACATTTAGAGTGACCTACGATGACGGCGGAAAGAAAGTTGTGGATAAAACAGTGTGCAAACATTGTGCAACACGTTTTGTTTATGCTAACAGCAACACGACCAACATGTCAGGCTAATAATCAACATATACCGAACCAAACTGAAAACCGTGACCACGAAACCGTGAACCAAACCGAACTGTGGATTTTGTGAACCGTTCCACCCCTAATAAGCAGTAATCAAAGCAAATGATGGCCACTTTGCAGAACCTAGAATATAGGACATATTTTCAGTTGTTTCAGACTTTGTTAAGCATATATTCCACATGTGTTAATACATAGTTTTGATGCCTTATATATATATATATATATATATATATATATATATATATATATATATATATATATATATATATATATAAACACTCGGAGGATCTATTTTTTTCACGTACAGAAAATAGTCGATTCCAGCTGCTAGGAATGGAAATCCCAATAAACTGGGCCAGCTTGAGGGAGATATCTGGATTTTCAGTGACTGCTCCTTTACTAGTATGCAGAGGTCAACAGCTCAGAACAGCGACAGAATGTTATAAAGATGGTATCATAATCCTGATTAACTGGTTTCATGAGTGATGATGTAAAGCGTGCTGTCTCGCCTACAAACATGTTAAAGCTACTGTTCTCCCCACTGATCAGAGCAAATAATAGATCTGCTTGTTTCCATATTGGTTTGAACTGTTTATTTTCAGTTTAACAGTTGTTCATTTTAGAAAAATTACAAGCAACCCCTTCAATTACGACCTTTAAGTTAAGAGAAGTGGTCAAGAAATGTCTATTTTAGGTTATTTAGTCATTTATTCGATTTACTGTTTGCTCAATCGATGAATCTGTGACTGACCCCATGGTCTGTTGAAGAAAACTAAAGGAGGGTTGCAGTGATGTTAGTAAATAGTTAGATTTACTCAGTTACATTTGCTTGAGTAACTTTTTGATTTAAAAAAAAAAATTTGTTTTGTAAATAGTTTTACTGTGCCATATGCTTTAGCATTACTTAAGCAACATTATCATAAAGTATCTCTACCCATACTTAAGTAAAAGCTTTGGCTACATTACTGACTGTAGATAACTTAACTAAAAAAAGAACAAGCACATTTTAACCTTAAATGCACCAGACACAGGCAGACGGTTTAAGTTTCAATAAAATTAGCATTCTCATTGTACACATTTTTTGTTTTTTAAATTAACATTTAACTGCTTAGACATCTATGAAATAGGGCACTAACGAGTAGTTATTTTACCAACTCGAATAGTTGACAGTGAAAGTTAGAGTCAAGTCGATGCCTCAGGTAAAGTCGCGGGGGGGATTTACTTACAATATGTCTTGCTAAAGTGCTGGTTGGTTATAACAGGTAGTGTGTGCTCTACTAAGCCCATAGAATAAGCCAAAAAGAAACCAATTTTGCGTGACACATGCACACCTCCACGCAGGCCCACCTCTGCCAGAGGCAAAGACTTTCGAGATGTCCAGATGTGAAACGACTCAGCTGAATTAGGTCAACTTGTCTACAAGTCGACTTATAGTACATGCCCTAATATGGCATGGAGGTATAGGTACTACGGTAAAAACTAAGGGTGCACCGAAATGAGAATTGTCGCACGAAACTGAAAACAAAAAATGAGGAAACCATGGCTGAAAACCGAAATGCCAACAGAAATTATTTGTTTAAATATTAGAAACATAGCATTTTTGGCTATAATGTGTACTAACCTACCTAAAAGCAAGGCATTTCAATAAATCAGGTATTTCAGTTTAATATGGAAAAAAAGTATAAAAAAATTATATAACCTGCCTGCCTCATACTCATTTCTACGACGGAGTATTAGGGCCATATATGAAGAGAAAAAATATTTTTGCCATGACGACATTAAACTCGACATGTCGACTTTAAAGTCGACATGTCGACATTAAACTCAACATTTCGAGAATAAAGTTAAAATGTCATGTTGAGTTTAATCTCGCCCTGTCGACTTTAAACTCGCCATTTCGAGAATAAAGTTGAAATGTCATGTTGAGTTTAATCTCGACGTGTCGACAATAAAATTTAAATTAGTTCAAGAGAGCCAACCGCTGCACAGGATACATGCACAGAATCCTATACAGTTGCAGCACGTCAAAGACTACCTTCACTCTTAAAGTGCAGACTGCAGCTGTGGAGCTCGGTTGCTAATTTCTCCAAACTTTGGAATGTCGAGATTAAAGTCGCCACGATATATCAACTTTATTCTCGAAATGGCGAGTTTAAAGTCGACACGTCGAGATTAAACTCAACATGACATTTCAACTTTATTCTCAAAATGTTGAGTTTAATGTCGACATGTCGACTTTAAACTCGACATGTCGACTTTAAAGTCGACATGTCGAGTTTAATCTCGTCATGGCAAAAATATTTTTTCTCTTCATGTGTGGCCCTAATACTCCGTCGTACATTTCTGACCAACTCTGCTCCGCCACCTGTGCTCTGTATATTCAGTCCTTTCATTGCGTGCTTGACAATGTTGCTGCGTGTTGACTGTGATGTTTGCTTGGGATCTTTTTGCCTATGCTGGTTGTGCTGTTTGTTGCGTCATCACAAGTTTTGGCCGTGTTGTTTCGGTGTTCAATGCCTATAGCCGAAAACCGAAAGGGCACTTTTCGGTCATTTTTAGCCGAGTGGCTGAATTTTCGGTGCATCCTAGTAAAATTTTTGACTCAAGAAAACCTTTTCTTGATTCAAACGACTTGGTCAACTATAGATTTATATCCAATCATCCTCTCTTACATAAAATTCTTGAGAAAATAGGTGCTAAACAAGTGTGTGACCACTTAACAATGTAATGACATTTTGGAAGAGATTCAATCTGGTTTTGGAGCTCAGTGCAGCATAGCACTGAAACGGCACTGAAATTAGGCCACTAATGATATTCTCATGGCATCAGATAATGGATTTGCGTCTTTACTTGTCCTCCATCTTAGTCTCGCATTCGATAAATCCAATCAAAATGTTCTTCTAGAAAGACTTGAACATTCTGAAATTAAGGAAACAGTGCTGGCTGACAGATTTCAGTTTGCTCAAGTTAAATATAAATCTTCCTCAAGGTCCCGGGTTACCTGTAGAGAACCACAGGGATCAGTGCTAGGACCAGCTTTCTTTACTATACATATGCTTCCAATTGGTAGAATTGTCTCTGTAAAGTGTCTTGAGATGACATTTTGCGAATTGGTGCTATTTAAACAAACTGAATTGAAAAGTAAACATTGTCACTGGAACTGGTTTACACTGTTCCTTCATACATACTTATATATATATATATATATATATATATATTTTTTTTTTTTTTTTCCTTTTGAATGTTATCATACTGAAAGGTTAATTTGTTTCAGAGCTTTTTACACAGCTTCATCGTGGGTGCCATAAATGCAGCTAAAGTTCAGAAATATGAAACTAAAAATCATGCTCAATTGTTGGACTGTCAATACACTGCAAAATCGATCTAGGAAAGTCAGCATTTATTAAATTTAGTTTATTTAGCCTTAATTTGATTAAGTAGATAAGATGATTTGCTGAAATCCGTAGTTTTACTCTTAAAAATCAGATAATTAGATAATATGTACTTGAAATAAGAAAATGCTATTTTTTTTCCTTTTTCAAATGAAAATCATCTTCTTCCATTAACAAATTGTCTTGCTTACCTCCTCAATTCAAGACAAAATTAACTTATTTAAAGAAAAAAATTACTTATTTAGATTGAATTTTTTCCAGTGTAGCAATGTTTTTGCTTTTGATATTCCACAAAAGAACACTGCAGTGGATACTGGCTGCAACAAGAACAACTGCCTACTCTGACACCCACACGGCTGACAACACCACCACTACAGCAGGCTTGTAAGATACAATGAGACTAACAACAGTGTTTGCTCAGGAGGGAGCACTACAATGGTCGGTGGGTCACTTATGGAAAGACTGATCTGCTGGTTGTCTCTGAAGATTTGATAGAATATTCATGACAGAGTACCATGCAAGTGCAGTGTTACTGGAGCCAGCTGAAGGCTGGGATGTTACATGCAGGTGCAGTGTTTCCAGAGCCAGCTGAAGGCTGGGGTGTTACATGCAGGTGCAGTGTTTCCAGAGCCAGCTGAAGGCTGGGATGTTACATGCAGGTGCAGTGATTCTAAAGCCAGCTGAAGGCTGGGAAGTTACATGCAGGTGCAGTGATTCTAAAGCCAGTTGAAGGCTGGGAAGTTACATGCAGGTGCAGTGTTTCTAGAGCCAGCTGAAGGCTGGGATGTTACATGCAGGTGCAGGGTTTCCAGAGCCAGCTGAAGGCTGGGATGTTACATGCAGGTGCAGGGTTTCCAGAGCCAGCTGAAGGATGGGATGTTACATGCAGGTGCAGTGTTTCTAGAGCCAGCTGAAGGCTGGGATGTTACATGCAGGTGCAGTGTTTCTAGAGCCAGCTGAAGGCTGGGATGTTACATGCAGGTGCAGTGTTTCTAGAGCCAGCTGAAGGCTGGGATGTTACATGCAGGTGCAGTGTTTCTAGAGCCAGCTGAAGGCTGGGATGTTACATGCAGGTGCAGTGTTTCTAGAGCCAGCTGAAGGCTGGGATGTTACATGCAGGTGCAGGGTTTCTAGAGCCAGCTGAAGGCTGGGATGTTACATGCAGGTGCAGTGTTTCTGGAGCCAGCTGTAAGCTGGAAAGTTATCATGGGGAAACTTCTCACCGGGAGGATCGGAGCTGCGCTCTCATGAATAGACAGGATGTGTGTGATGTTGTTTCTGGCTAACTGTTCTCTGTCTCTTGCGTCTGAGGAAAACGAACATAATCATTGTCAATACCATCAGAATACACAAGTAAATAGAACAGAAAAAACTAAACTTATACACACCCTTAAAGTTTCCCAAGTACAAATCTTGGAGAACCTGTAAGGAGAGAAACCCGTAAACAATGGACAGCTGAACATTCTGAAACAGTAAATTTAATTCATATGACCCTGATAAAACTTAGTCTTAGTATAAACACGCAGTTTAAGACAAAACCGTAAATAAGAGAAAATTGATACTTGCGAGAAATGCAGCAAAAACACAAGAGCGCAACAACTGAAACAAGCACGTACCTTATTGACGCCGTTCCCCATGCTTTAACTCTGAGTCTCAGCACTAACAGGATCAAGAAATAACGAACAATGTATCCTTCTTAGCTGGGTGCTTATTTTGCCTTTGAACTGCGTACAAATTCCGGTTTTCAATGAGAGTTGGCAGCAGCCTGTCAGGCGATCAAGCGCCGCTGCCTGAGGAGCTCCTTCCCAGATTGAATCCTGGGAATTGTAGTTCAGACACGTGAAATGGCTCTGAAGACTTTGGAAAAGGAAAAGTGATTGTGAACGTGTGGCACTAATAGATTAAGAAATTATATGTCAAATTACATATAATAATATAATAATAATAATTTTAATGTACATTAAGATCCAACATTCTGAGATTAGAGTCATAAATCTGAGAAAAGTCAGAATTCTGAGATTAAAGTCAGAATTCTGACTTTTCTCAGATTTATGTTTTTCCATATTAAACTGAAATAAAATAGAAAATCAGTTAACTTTTTTTTTTTTCTAGGGGCCCTAATCCTCTTCCGTACTGAAATGTTGAAAGCAAAAAAAAAGAGAAAAAAAATCTCAATAATTATGAACGAATAGGCTATATTCTGCAGTTTTCTTTATATTTTGCATAGACTTAGAGGTATATAGCTGCCATGTTTCTACAAAAATTCATTAATTCCCCAACAAGTATATTGATGAATTTCTTCTACCATATTCATTTCACTATCTAAACTCATTTATATTAGTCTGCTAGCATATTGTTCAGTTGGGGCCACATTTGTCATCAAGATACCCTTAAGATGAGCAGCTGAGTGGAGTTATGTGTTTAGGAAATAGAAATTGTGGGAAACAACTTCTTAAAATCAAGTAATTGGAAAAACGAATGTGTCTTTGCTGTTATCTAACTTCTACATAAACATGAGTAACTAAAAGGTTGAATGGTTAGTTGGGGTGCTTTTACAATAGAAATCAACTTTATTGTCATTACATTGTCAAGTTCAGAGCAATGAAATTACCTCTCTGCATTTAACCCATCCCCTTGGGGAGCAGTGGGTTACCATTGTGCGGCGCCCAGGGAGCAGTGTGGGGTTAAGGGTCTTGCTCAGGAACCCAGAATGGAGGCTGTGGGGTTCAAACCTGGTACTTGCAACCTTCTCACCGCGCAGTGCACTGCTCTAACCGATTAGGCTAACAATCCCTCTCAGAATTTACATTAATAGGTGTCAGGGAATGGAGGTATGGTGAGGATCCTGGGCTCTGATCAGTCACAACTCACCTAAAGTACAACCTTTCTCTTGCCAGGCAACATCATAAAACAAGTTGGGAAAGATTCATATAAATCACTCTGACAATATTGATAACACTGGACTTAAAATCAAACAACTTTACAATGCAAGGAAATCTGTCAATGTTTGTGTGCAACAACTTCATTTAACAGTTTCTTATTTTCTTCATGCAGATCCAAACAAGATATCAGCCATGTTCCCTAATTTATCTATAGTCACAACAAACCCAAAGCAACATCTGAAGCACTGTAGACATCAGTTGTCTCAGTTGATGTAAAACCAAAAAAAAAAAACTACACTTTAATATAGTGGTAAGGAAATATAATCTGATGTTGGTTTGCTTCTTTAGTACCTGGAAAACGTGCTCTCATTAAGTCAGTCTGCACTCTACCAGAAAAGCGAATGTCCTGCCTTTAGTTTGTTACTTAAAGCTCCCTTGGGTTAGTCAGTCAATAAGCCGAAGCAAACCAGTGATTATACCCTAAAAAGTTAAAGAAAACTAAAAAAATGTTTTCTGCCTTTAGCCTGTTAGATGTCTGAAGTCTTGTTTATTGTCATATATGACATAATCAAGGCCTCTCATGCTCAAAAACCTTCAAACCTGTCTAAATTACAAGAACTCTGCAAAGAAATATCCTCCACCATGATGTAAGACTTGCAGTTACTACCAAAACAAAGGTTTTTCCAAGGTTAAAGCCAGGTTTTCTGGTGTAAATCACTTGTTTTCTGCATAAAAAACAAATTGGTTTGGGCCGCTTTTAAATAGGTAAAATCATCTGAAAACTGTCTTTATTTTTAAATCAGTTTATCTGTGTCTAACATAAAAATTTTATTGCTTATCTAAAAAATTTAGTTGTAATGAAAATACATTTTAATAAGAAGAAATGTGTTAGGAGTGAATAATTTTTCCCCTCTCTTTATTGTCCGTCAGCTTTAAAAGAGTTTGCTGCTTTTGCATTTGACACCATCCTGAACTGCTGCGACTAACCTCATGTTAGCAGAAAACCTCTCAGTCTGCAGACAGACACAGTGATGCCGGTAACAACTGCGTGGCTTTTACAGAGAAAAGATGGCATCTGGCTATGCTGTTCTGATTATTATCATCATTTAAAAAAAAACGTTTGCAGGAAGTGCTGCTACCCACTGCCCCACATTAAAATCACGTGTACAATTCAGGCGCAGGCTGTTTCAACTTCCTGATTATTGGATGGTGAGAACTGATTAGACTAAAACTTGAATGACTAGAGGTGTATGTCAAGTGACATGAGGTGAAAGAAACTCAATGTGCAAATTTGGAGCAACAGGTTATTAGAAAACCATAGCAGTTGCTACTAAAATACTTTTTTTCTGAAATTAATTCATTCTAGTTTTCCAATGATATGTTTGTGTGTATGGCGGACAAGTTAGCTTAAATCTAATGCGAGCATCCAGGCAGAGACCACATCTGCCTTTTGGGCTCTTTGTTATTCAACAAACTTTTAAAAGCATAGATTAGCTGGCATGCAATCAGACTGGCATTTTGCTGATGTAACTGTCAGTAAAAGAGCTCAGTTACTTGTTTTGTATAGGTGGGAAAATTCCTAAATAGCCTACAGATTACCAGCACAACTGCGAACAACAGAAAAAAAAAGAAAAACACATAAGCCACTAAACTGACACAACACAAGACAGGTAAATACGATACTGCTTTGTTGTGGCTTTGGTGTGCAAAAAGAAGGAATTTATAGAGTGGGTGTTCGCAGATAGGCAGCCAAAATGTAGGCCTGCATTTCAAACTTCGCCCACACTGCCAGAGCGTACTACCCAGGTGGTTCCCCGTTCTAGTTTCACATAAATGTTTGTTTTATCAATGAGCTGGATTTTTTTTTTTTTTTTTACATATATGAGCAGATTTAATATTCTATATGTGCTGGAATATAAAATAGTTATGTTGTACTGGCCACACATATAAAAATCATAGGCTAAAAGCTTCATTTAGGCTTTTTAAGATAGTTTGGCAAGGTAGCCAATAATAAATGTGTATTACTGTCTAATACTACAGCAACTTTCAAGGGAAAAAATTATAGTCCCAAAAGTCAAGTTCATTAATTCACCACAAGGGGGCAACAAAGTCTCACAAAAACTCTGTTGGAGCTTTCTAAAGTCATTGGTTTAAATAGTATTAAAATGGGCTGATTAAAATGTCAGTTGTATTGTTGTTGGTGCCAGAACCTTTGAAAAGTCATGAGTTCATAAGGAATTAATAAAAACAATGCGATGTGCAATCAGTTTCAGGTGTGTTGGAAAGTAATGCTTTCAGGTAGTTTTAAGTTTTAACATTTTATTAAGTGAACAAAACATACAATATTTTTACATTTGAAAACCCACTGATCAAGATTATTGTATAATGTCCTATACACTCTGTTATGTAGTCAGGTTATGTATAATATTCTCCTTTTAAAAACAGTCATATTGCTTCTTTATAAGTGATATTGCTGTTCTTAACACATCTAAAAATCTTGCAAACAGGTTGTGTTTTAAATCTTCCAGAAGAACAATGCTTCATTTTACATCAGGGTAGCAAATGAATAAAAAAGAAGAAATCTATTCATTCATCTATTGTCTATTACTAATCCTTGCAGGTATGCAGAGGGCTTGGTGCCTGTCTCCAGTCACTGGGAGAGGTTGCCGGTCTACCCCAAGGTAACATGAGCAAATGCAGAACACACAACCACACATGGAAAAACTCATAATTTAGGGTTGCATATGGATTAGAATGACCACAATGTATTCATCTAATACATCTAATGTATTTTTGAAACATTATAGGAAACTGGAATAACTGGAAGAGAGGCCATGCATTCAACTCTGTGTAGATAGACAAAAGGCCAGAATTAGAACCCGACCACCAAAACACCATTTGTCACAATGCAGCCGAAAATTAAATATAATTTTGTGATGAGGACTCCAGCTTTACTTCTTCTTATTGTACATTATGCCCAAATAGGACATAAACTTTAAAGTTTCGTTACTCATTTGTTTATCCTTTAGGGTGTGTCATTATTTGCTATCCAGCCCTACTTACAATTTGCCTTCTCCCTGTTTTTAGAGCCATGGTTAAAGAAATATATCCTCTTTAATCAAACCTGGCCCCTAAGAGGAGTATTGTATATATATATAGGCTACCTTTTATCTTATCATTCCTTCCTCCTTGTTATTCTTTTCACATCTATCCTGTCAAAATGGATCTCTGCTTCAACCAATCTGACTTCCAAAGGAGATAAAATTAAACACTGGAATTGATATGTTAGACTATGGGTGGAAAAAATAGATCTATAATTAATGGAGAGGTATATGCATTTATTACCTTCACCAACCTATAGGTAGCAACCCAGCCTTTTTACAAATAAATAAGGGATGTGTATCCCTTTATCAGTGTATCAATCAATAAGAAGATTTCTTTGGTTTTCAAAACTGAACTGTATTAAATCCAGTGCTTTGAAATACGTTTAGTTGTTTCTGGGTTAAAGTAAGATAGATTTACAGTGGATTATTTTTTTAATGCCCTTCATTTGCTGTTCTGCAAATCAATTATTTTAATAAATTTGCTTATCTGCACAATATGGTTTCTTTTTCATCTGTGACTAAAATAGAAATCAAATTTAAATAAATTCTTTGACAATGTGATTAGCATATGATTTCTATTTTTGTCAAAAATATATAGTAAATTAAGTATACTATAGTACAGATAAAGGGCCTAATGAAAAATTTCTATTAAGTCCGTAAGTCGTTACACGACGGGGGAAAAAACATTCTTCCAATCTTGTTTGTGTGCCTTCTCGGGCGAATTTGCCACTCGCAATATGGCGGACAGGTAGACATAGAGTTTCGACTCGGCAAACTTTAGCCCAAAAGAAATACAGACAAAAAGAAAAAAAAGAAAAAAATACACTTAAAATAAAGCTGAAGTCTGTACACTGGGCTTTCCAAATTGACTCTTATTCCATCTAAAAAGATCGTCTGCGTCAATCTACAAGCTATCCTGGTGTATTTTTCGGGGATTGTCTTATAATGCCTGTTTGTAGTCTTAAGCTTTTGTTTCGCTTTTAACTTGTAGACAAATCCGGAAACACGCAGATAGGGCGACTTTAGGTGTTTTTTTAAGGCAGTCTATAATTATTATTATTATTTTATGATTATGTGACAGTATTGTAAGTATTCGATAAAAAAGTTCAGCGAGGAAAGCTAAAGTTTACCTTTGTTATAAAAACTTTGTCCGCTGCTCGCTTTTCTCTCGAGGCTGTCACTGTTTCACTTTTTTGAGCGTCACGGCTGAGTAATTTACCGGGTCATTCAGGTTTGTTTAATACATTTACTGCTTTCCATATATATAATAAACGGTGTGTTAGTGTGTTATAGCATGTGTTTAATGTTTCCAGCTGATATTATCTAATCCTGAGGGTTTGCTGTTGTTGCAGCGGCGATGGCCGCCGCGCCTCAGATCTCCCTCCATATGAGATCAACAGATCTGATCAAGAAGGAGCCTTTGGACTATGGAGGGTTTGGAGAGGTCTACTTGTGCTACCATGCAACCCTTGGCCAAGTGGTGTTAAAGACCGTGTATACAGGTCCTCTTCGCAGCGAGTAAGTTTGCACAGACGCCATCCATGCTGGGTATTCCCCTTCCTCTATGCATCACGAGTAAAGCGTGTTTGCAAGTTTGCAAAAAAAAAAAAAATAGAAGCACATATATAGGCTATATATATATAATGCTGCACTCGGATCTGAAAAACCCGTTGCATGTCGTTAAATATCACAATTTGTGGTTCTTCTGTGAAAAAAAGCATGCACTGATTTCTTTTTTGATCACTTCCTTCTTCAAAAGGAGACGTAGGTCCGTCTAAAATGCGGATGTCGGTCGGTTTTTTTAATCAGATGCAACAGCTCCATTTAAAGCCTTTCTAAGAATTTCCAAAATAGCTGTGCAGCATTGCATGCATTAATTGCCAGTTACAATTATTAAGGATTGACAGGTCCAACCGTCCACCCTCTGGTGAATGACAGGTCATTGTCCTTAAAAGAGGTGACACACTAGCTTTTAGTTATGTCAGATGCAATTGGTAATAATTGAACTCAATTGATCTCACATTGCAGAAACTTACCTCTGCATTTAACTTATCCCCTTGGGCAGGGCCGGAGTTGGAGATTTTTTAGGCCATTAGTCATTCATGTAACCAGACCACCCTTGCCTTGTTACATGACTGACCGACTTGACTGATTCCTTAAAGGAATAGTACACCCAAAACATGATTAGCCTTCATTTTCTACTCACCCCCATGCTGAACAACACTCTGGAGTACTTTTTTGATATCTCAAATGCATCTGGAGATCTGGGAGGCTTCTTGCTGTCTGCTGACATTCAAATAATGGAGGTCTATGGTGACCGAGACAGAAAGGTCCATAAAAGTCCACAAAAAACGTGTCAATATTCCTCCATACTGCTCGTCCAATGTATTCCAAGTGTCCTGAGTGGGTAGCATCCAGAATTTACTCGAAACAAAGTCATTTAGAATGTTTTTAGAGCATAAACAGTAGTGTATAGGATTTCCTGAAAGCGCGCACACGCGCGCTCACGACGCTACGGAAGCCGGCAGATCAAACCAGATGAAAGTGCGCATTCAGCGTCTGCTCTGCCAATAATGCAAGCGTAGAAGAAGAAATGTGCTGTTTACCTGTGCAAAGAAAGAAACAACGAAAGAAAAATATCTGAGGACTTCAGTGTTGAGGAAGAGCATGAGTTCTTTGCCGAGCTGAATGCGCTGGTTTGGTCTGACGGCTTCCGTAGCGTCGTGAGCGCGCATGTGCGCGCTTTCAGGAAATCCTATACACTACTGTTTATGCTCTAAAAACATTCTAAATGACTTCGTTTCGAGTAAATTCTGGATGCTACCCACTCAGGACACTTGGAATACATTGGACGAGCAGTATGGAGGAATATTGACACGTTTTTTGTGGACTTTTATGGACCTTTCTGCCTCGGTCACCATAGACCTCCATTATTTGAATGTCAGCAGACAGCAAGAAGCCTCCCAGATCTCCAGATGCATTTGAGATATCAAAAAAGTACTCCAGAGTGTTGTTCAGCATGGGGGTGAGTAGAAAATGAAGGCTAATCATGTTTTGGGTGTACTATTCCTTTAAGCCGGGCGTACACTGTGCGATTTTTTTCAGTTGTTGCATGCAGCTGCAGCTCACACTGTACGACGAGACTGCAGGGTTTCGTTGTACAGTGTGAGTTCAAACCTCACGATGCATGTTCAGCCCAACGCTCTGATGCGATCTGCCTGCTCACGCTGTACTTGGCATTTTGTGCTGAAAGCCCTAAAAAGAAAAGGAGAAGACGTATTTGAACAAAGACATGGCTGAGCAAACGCAGCTACTACAGTCTGTCAATTTTGCAAAAAGAACTCCCTTTCACTCATTGCACCCCCGTCATGCTTCTGTATTTACATTTGTGAGGAAGAAGAAAAAGAAGAATCCTTGTTTGCGCACTGAGCGATTTGCCCACGACGGGCATGTTTGATTTTCTGCAGACCTAACGAGTCCTGATCAGGTGGTGGTCATGGGAGGCTGATCCCCCGTCGTTACCCCCTGTACACTAAGCGACGCACGATCAGGCTGAAAGTCGGCCCTATCGAAAATTTCTCGCACGACTGGAAAATTGTCCCAAAAATGGCAAGAAATCGCACAGTGGAAGCCCTGCTTTGGGGAGTAAAATAGAATAGGGCCGGGACATCAAGGCATGTCGTTTGAACGTGTTTCGTTTCCCATCCAGTAAGCGAAACATTTTCAAAGTTTGAAAAAAGTCCACTGGATTGTTTTTTAACTTTTTTTGCAAAACTTGTGACAATGTAATGACGATAAAGTTGAATTTTATTCTATCCTATCTATCCGTTTGCTGGTGTTTCTACAGATAGGCAACACCTTAGGTGAAGGACATTCTAACAAATTAATATGTCTGGGTATAGATGTTTTCTTTTGTAACTATATTTCCTACAGGAAAATTAACCTCTGCCATACTCTCAAGTCTTTAGCTGGTTATCAACCAAACCTTTAGATTGCCTTCAACTAACAATGTAAATTTCTTCATGCCACTCTTTGATAAACAGCAGATTAGTGGAGAACATGACTTCCAGTTGTTCTGTCCAGAGATTCTCCTTTCGTCTGTGGTTCCTTCATGGTTACAAAAGGCCTCTTTGCTGTCTATCTGAATGACACTCTAGTTGCCTGGCATGTCATTTCAGAGGGAAATCGTGTCTTTGTAGGTTTTTGCGGTTGTGCCATACTCTCCCATACATAACAAAGAAACACAGAACTTTTGAATATACTGCTTTTTTTTCTAATGCCTCTAAGGGAAACAACCATACTTCTGGATGTGCCTTTATCTGTAATCTAGCCTTCTGTCTTCACTTTATCTCACAGAGAGAGTAAGAAGTCGCTGCTGGAAGAGGGGAGTTTAATGGCAAGCCTTAACCATAATCGTGTGGTCAAGTTGCTTGGTGTGATCATGGAAGACAGGGATTGCTCGCTTGTTATAGAGCTTCTGCCCAGAGGCAATCTACTGGTCATGCTGGAGAAGGTCAGCCTAAGATCTATATAGTGAAATATTTTTAATTATGTGTGTTTTATTTTGTCTGGAGATGGTACATTTTAAACTGTATGATACAATCGCTGACTTACATTCGCTCTTAGGTCTCTGTGCCGATGTCTATTAAGGGAAGAATCATCCTGGAGATTTTGGAGGGGATGGTGTATTTGACGGAGCGGCGTGTTATTCACAAGGACTTAAAGCCAGAAAATATTTTGGTGGATAAGGATTTTCACATCAAGGTATGGATTACATTAAACCTCTATTCTTTGTGTTTCACATTTTATATTTTTGTTAAAGAAAAAGAGAAACAAAAATACACCTGCTGCTTTTAGATTGCTGACCTCGGGCTGGCCACTTGCCATGCATGGAGTAAGCTCACAAGACAAGAGTCCCGCAGGAAAAGCTACAGGGGCAGGACAGCTGGGGAGAGAGGTGCTGGCACATTAAGCTACATGGCCCCGGAGCATCTGGAGAGCATCCATACGCCTTCCACTGAGAAGTCTGATGTGTACAGCTTTGCTATTGTGGTTTGGGTCATTTTGTCGGGGAAAGAGCCATATGAAAGTGAGTGGGGATGGTTAATTGAAGTCTAATAGCTAGGCATACATTACCTATTTCACTAAACAGTGACCAAAAATTTCAATTTGCAGATGCAAGGAGTGAAGAACACATCAGCCAGTGTGTTTGCAAAGGTGACCGACCTGCAATGGAGCCCATACCTGAAGACACTCCTAGAGAAATAATTGATCTTATGAAGAGTTGTTGGGCTCACAACCCTGTGCAAAGACCAACATTTAAAGGTACAGTTTTTGTGGGCTGCACTGTGCAGTAAAAAAGACTTGGTTGTAGAGCATGTGCAATAAAATAAAGAAAGGGATGATAAATACATAAGTTAGCTTTTTTATCTCTGCTTATTTTTTGTTTGATTCTGTCTCCTTGAACCCCAGTCGGCCTCAGCAGCCGGCCGCTCACACTGAGCCTGGTTGTGCTGGAGGTTTCTTCCTGTTAAAAGGGAGTTTTCCTTTCCACTTTCGCTACAAGCATGTTTGGTGTGAAGGATTGCTGAAGAGTCAATGAGTCAATGCGATTGGCTGGTTTTCCTGAAAACTTTAAACCAATCTGACTGTATGATCTGGTTGAATTGTATCTCTTAAGTGTCTTAAGATGACATGTTGTGAGTTTTTGCTTTATAAATAAACTGAATTGAATAAGTTAAAGAAATCAACTTTATCTTATCCTGATAGCTTGATTTAAACTACTTTATTGCTGCTCTTTTTATTGCTTGTTGACTAATCCATAGGAAACATTACACCAATGTAAGACCAGTGTAATACAAACAGAAGTCCCATAATTAAGTGACAAAATTTGTAAGACATAACAGAATCTTACCTTAAAAATAAGTTTGTATGCATACTATCTAAGTATTTACTTTAATAAGTGCACAATTTCTAGCTCTTTTAACATACATTATGTTATGAAGAAAGAATGTATACCTATCTCCTCTGTTTGTTTTTCTTTCTGGCAGAGGCCTATGAGAGCTTGCTTCCTTTCTACAAGGAAATACTCGAGCCACTTGTAGAGAAAGATGTTTGCCTTTTGCAGGTGAGTAGCTTATACTGCTAATAAAAGACCTTACGACATACTAATGGCAAACCTGATCTAGTTTGGAGTGTTTTATGTTTTTTTTATTGTTTGACATTTAAGGAATGAGTAAATACTGAACATCTGAGGCCAATGACAAATCAATACCAGATGTTGCTAACAACTCAAGCTATTTACACATTAATAGACATAAAAACAAATGAGTACACACATTAGGGAGTGTAGGAATAACTAATAACTGAATATCAACTGATACAGTTTTGTTTTTGTTTATTTAAGACCGATGCCAATGCCTGATCAGTGATTGTTTTTGTGGGGTTATTCTTTAGGTCGATGTTGCTTTCTCTTTCCCATTTGCATGATAAAAATAACACAACAACAACATAAGTGACACAAGCCTTAATTTAAACAAAAAAGGACATTTATTAACAAATCAAAGAAAACTGGGATAGCAAATGGATGGAGCAGCAATGCACACACTTTCTAAAGACGTGGCTGCTGTATGCGCTAATGAATCGACATGTGCATTCGTGTATCAGCCGATGCTGATACAAGTAAGAAAATGCCTATATCGGCCTGCTGTTTGGATCTTTTTTTAGTTAAAAAACATTGATTAGTAAAGCTTCGGACAGCCTGTATGGATAATGATCAATTCTAGATTTATCCATTAAAGTGGAAACTGATCTTCACTTCGTGCCAGAGATAGGTTTAACCAGATTCAAGTCAATTGATTGACCGTGGCATGCTTGCATTATTATTGTTTTTTTTTTTTTTATCTTTGTGGTAATATCATTATTTGGCTAAAAAAAAAAATCCATCGTCATGTTTTTTCAGTTTCTTATCCTGAATGTCCCGAATTTTACATCTACATTTATTCTTTCTTCAGTTATTTAAAGTTTGTCATTTCTATTTTGTTGTTTGTTGTAGGATTTTGTCATATCAGCCACTGACTTCAAACGCCTGTGCATGTGTGTGTGAGCATATTCAAAAAAAGATATCTTCATGAAAATGTTCAATAGCTGACATTAGTAGCCTCCTCAATCTGAAACAGATACGGAGGAATCCCAGCAATCCAAATGTCTCCCAGATTACAGGAATATCAATGCAGGACGAAAAACAAACATGTCACATGAATTCTCATTCACATGCTCCCAACCTCATCGTCAAACAGACATTCATCGCCACATACCGGTAACCAACATCAGATTAAACATAATTGGACGCCACACACATACACACACTGAATTCCCTATACATACTCTATATACTCATGGCCGGGTACTATTCTAATGGCTTTATAGGACCTAGGTGATGGTCCCTCTATATACTGCGGAAGAGATAGACTGGTTCAGTGTCCACTGGGTGGTACAGCAATCCTGGCTCAAACCAAGAACCCCCACCCGACTCCATCCAAATTTCTATATATTAAAGGACTGCTCCACCCCCTGACCCTCCCACTCCTTAAAACTACAGCTGCTAGTTTTTTAGAGCGTCAGGTGTGTGATAGCTTCTCCAGACAGCATATAAACTGGCATTCAATAGTTCACTTTTAAACTATAAAACCCCCTGTATGTCATTTGGCTATAAAATATTGTATAGTAGAATTTTTCTTCTGCAGTGGAGTATTGTGTACTGTGCAGCGGCGTTAAGTGCATCTGGTACCTACAATAGGCCTTCAGTGAGCCCCCCTCAACTTAACCTACTTGTTAACCTGGGCATAGATAATTTTTTAAACCTAGATTGATTCCACTAATCTTGGAATTAATCTAGATTAATAGAGATTAACATTGCTCATTTGAATTCTGCCAAAGAAATTCATGATATGTGTGTGCTACCTAAATAATAAGTAAAAATAGTCTTAAATCGGGTTTCTCAAGGCAGGAGGCGCATTAGACCAGGTGTCCATTTCATGAAGTAGGTTTGAAAAATCTGATTCAAATACTACAACTCTAAATTGATCTAGCCTAAGGTTTGAGTGAAACTTGTAAGTTTTTGGTTTAACAACAGCTGGTATGAATTAGTTCAGTCAACTCTAAGTAGAGCCACTTGCCTAACAAGAATGAAAAGCCATTTTCAGTTGAGCCACACACAACTTGACGAGTCACCATGACAATAGAAAACAGGAAGTGCCTACTTCACCCCACTGGAAGTAGAGATTTTAATGAGGAAATTGAAAAAAAAAAAATAGACTGTGTTTTAAAGACAGAGCAACAGCCCTACAGCTACAGGAAGATGGCATAGGAGAAAACTGCTGCTCGAGTTAATGCTTAAGTTTATTTGAAGTATTAAAAGCAACCCTCCCTATTGTTCCATTTGTACATCACTAAAATAAGATTCTTGATCAAAATCTTAAATTAGATTTTTGCAGCAGAAACTGAATTTCAGAAAGCAAAAAAAACCCTAAAAATTATATATACATATATATATATATATATATATATATATATATATATATATATATATATATATATATATATATATATATATATATATATATATATATATTAGTAGGAATTAAGTTTTATATACCTAGAAATATTTACACATTTTGGCCGTTTTAACATTTATCAGCTTGACAGAATATATATTTATGATATCTGAAATACATATACATATATTTTTGAGTTCTATAGTTCATTTCTAGACATCCAGAATGTTTATTCTAGAACTGAACAGTGTCATTTTGTTTATAACGGTCCTTTTGACAAGGAAACAATGTTTTATTCAGATATCAGGAATACATTTAGTAAAACTGATACATATCAAAATGGCTTGCCATATACTTTTGTGACCACAATAACATTACAGGTTTATTTCTTGAATGGTAGTGGATCAGTGTATCTATTTAGGTGAAATCACCTGGCAGCAGGTAAAGATGAAGTCTAAAAATATTGTTCTAACAGATAGAACCTCATCGTCTCATGGGGCTCTTCAGTTTGATTCTGTCTTCTTTTACACACTTAATACTATGTGGCTGTTTGCAGCCGTGCTTCGGATATTACCATCCAAATAAATGGAATTCAGTCTGAAAATAATTTCAGTAGTTCTTCATGTAGGCCTACAGTAAAAGTAAATAAATACAAATAAAATTATCCGCATGCTGCTGATATAAAACAAATTAAAAATAACAAAATTTATATCCCAGTTGAGTTGTAGAATCCTCTCCCAATAAATATTTTATTGTCTGTGAAAAAGTGTTGATCCTCATCAAACGGTCATGTTTATTTTGACCCAGTGAAATTTTCTTTTTTTTTTTTTTTTTTTATGCACAAAACTACGGCAAAAATTTGAGTAACCGAAAATGCTGATATTCAGACAGCTTGCCAGCTGATCATGTGGGAAAAATTTAAAATCTGATTGGTTGAAGAAAATATTCCTCACTAATATTGTTAAAGCAACATTGGCAGCACTATTTATTCAGAAAGCCCTAGGGAGAATTTGATTGACATAGCAACTCAGAGAGGCATAAATTTGATTGGACAAAAAATAGAGCAACCACATAAATGTAATCGAATCAGCGCAGCCAAGAGAAGCAATTCGAAATCAAGAGAATGAATAGTTTGGAATAAATTAACACAGCTGCATAAAAGAAATTAAAGTTTAGGTTTTGAATGTAGGTCAGCAGAGAAGGCTTTGAAGGCCCTGAACGCTCACCACTGGTACTGTTCATGTCTAGACGCCATTGTGGGCCAAACGTTTTATTTCAGATATTTCTAAAGAACTAAAGATTATAGAGACATTTAGAAAGCTCTGTTAACAAAAGCCATCAGTGTTTTTTTCATTTGTTTCTTTAACTTTGTGGTGAAACCTGGTGTGATTTTTTTCTGTTGCTCTATAACCAAGAAAACCAGTGATTTCATCAATTATTATTTTACTTGCTGATTTTTATTTTTTATTTTATACAGGAAAAGTATGAAGGTCCAGATGAACTCGTAGAGAGGATGAAATCATTAATGATGACCAATGAAGGTTTACTAGCAACCGATCAGGGTGAGTAATATTGGAGGATAAAATGTTCTATATTTCTAAACTGTATGGGGTTCACTTCACACGCTGACCTACTTTTAAATTTCTCTCAAAAATGTCTTTTATTGATTTATGTATCTGAATCTTTTAGATGGCCCTGCTCCTTTGAGCTCACACAGAGATTTATCAATACCGGTGGAAGCCAGCGTTGAGGACCTACATCACATTCATGATCATCTATCTGGACATTCTGTTGAGGCAGATGCAAAAGTACTAAGGAGCACCTCAGAGCTAGAGGAGAAACTAGATCGAGAGTTTCAATATCACAAGCATGGCAGCTATGCTTGCAACAACCAACCGGAGTCTGCGCAGTACATTCCTAAAATCTCATCAAATCCTTTCTTACAAAGCACTGCTGACCTGGTTGATAATGAGCTGAGACATCCAGCTCAAGAGAAATCCTCTGTTCATTCATGGACGAAACCAGAGTCGGTGCAGACTGGGGCTTATACTCGGCCTACATCTGAGCCCTACGAGTCCATGAACTCCAGCTCATTTCATCCATCACTGTTGCACACGTCTCTCAGCACACCTTCTCTGGGTCAGTTAAACCAGCAACATCCACACTCCCACCTGGACCGCCAGCAGTCCTGGCCAACGTACCCACTGCCCGACACCTTGGGCCCCAATCTGACTGCTGGCCATCTTTTTACCACTTCAAAGAGCGGATCGCTGCAGGACTCAGGTACTCATAGACCCATGTCTCCTTTTAGTAGTTTCCTCTCTGACGCTTTAATTACTGATTATCTGGTTTGTTCCAGGATCTCTCTACATTCATAATGCCAGTGCGATCCAGATTGGAAACAACAACACAATGAGCATCAGAGGTTATGACCCGCCTATTGGTTCAGTATCTATGTCTGCTGATGGTAACAATACCTTATCAGTCCAAGAGGGCATTTTAAAACATGGTAAATCATCAAATTCATTAGATATAATTAGTTTATTCATATTTTTTTTGTTTTATCCACAATATATACACATAGTATATATTTAGCTCTAGGAATGTTTTTAAACCTGGCCTTGGGCTCATTGACCACCATCAATTGGCAGTGTGGGTAAAGTGTCATGCCCAACGACACAATGACATTGAAAGTCAGAGCTGAGGTTTGAGCCGACGACCCTTCGGTTGCAGGGCAAGCTCCTGCATCCGTTAACACTGTTGCTTTGTACAACAGTAAACACTTGAAATGATCCAAAATCATCACAAAGGCAATGGTTTTTAGCGTATACACACATTCCCTAACTTTGCAAGACTTATAAACTCTGTTTATCTCCATTTTGGAAAACTGGAGCATCTCTACAGTTCAGTATAGCTTAGTGCAGGCTGTGTTGCTGGATGAATGGCCTAGCTGGGAGGTCTTTCGTCTTTGTTGTTTTGTTAATTCAAGTTTGGGACTTTGAGCTACTCCTGTTGAGATAATGTTACAGACAATGTTCAGCAGTCTGGCTGTAAATGTGGCTTTAAGGCTACTTTACTTGATCATGGGTTGAGGAATAAAGTCTATTTAACCATGTTGTCTTTGTTCTCCCCGATGTGATTCTGTCCTTTGAAATCCCACGGGCAAAGATGACGGGAAATCTGTGAGCAGAGCCTTTTATCCCCACACGGTGGGGGCAGCATCACATGTCGCTGGGATTAGTTTCTGGGAGGGTTTTGGTGAGGGGTGGTATAGTAGTAAATCTGCATTTTTTAGCAGTAAACAGAAATGGACATTGGTCCTCAGTGTCCAAAATTCATATTCAATATCAGGGCTTATAGCATAACAGTGGTAAAGATAATTCTGTTACTAATGTAGACTTTTGACTATTTCATTGGAAATTGGATCATAAGTCTCACCAGCTGTGCTGCTCAGAGAAGATTGTTGACTATGGACTTATGAAGCTACAGGTTTATAGTTTACCTCCAGCACATTGCTTCCTTTGCCCTAAAACATCTTTGTGGGTACAAAACAGCGACCACTTTAGGACCTCCTACCGTAGTTATGGTTCGTTAAGCTTAGTGAATCTTATGGTGGTGGAGTGATGGCAGAGATTTCTCCTCTCCACCCTCTGTTGATATTTAGGGTCAATTGTTTTTGAGGGACTTCCTTTTTTGCCATGACCAGACGATGCCTTTCTCCCTCTCTTCGACTGGTTCTTTAGCTACTTTCTGACAAGCTACTCACGTGCGCTCCATGTCACAAATCGGGCGAATAGTGGAGGTGCCTGTATCCCACTTCGACAGGACATGTGATTGCTTTCCAGCACTTCTCTCTGCACTCTGTGTTTCATCCCTTTCTTCCACTGCACAGTGAGCTCCACTAGACAAGATCGACTGGCATGGCTGGTAGCGCATCATTAGGTCTGGCCAGAGTAAGGTTCCAATTATCTCCCTGTGGAATTGCAGCTGTTTGCAGAGGTCATCTCTCATGATTCACTCACTACTGTACGACTGCCGTCTTGATGTTCTCTTCAGCTTTTGCAAAATGGACGAAAAGTCATTCAAGAGGGACGATCTGTTGTTACTCACTGTTGCTTCTCACTGTTCTGCACAAGAGAACACCTACCAGCTATTTCAGCACAGTTACCATAGTAGCATGCAAAGAGCATTTTTAATTGAAATTTGGCATTTCTCATGGGATCTTTAGGATACATAGCAATTTCTTTGGTCAAAACACATCAAGGCTAGCCTAATTGCTAATTTAAAGATGGTAGGATGAGAGAGCTCCTTTTGTTACCGCAGTCTGCAACTCTTTTTTTCTACTAGTCTAGGGTATTGAAATGTAAAGATCATATTCAGATTTGAACGATGGTAATGGCTTAGTATTGAGAAGTTTTACTTTGCAATACTGAGTATAATTCAAGAGGATTTAAAATTGATAGGTTAAGAGTTCCAAAATTAAGTTTATAAGCAATGAATACCTTATCCCCAGTAGATAACCCTTTTATCTTTAATTTGGTATAGATCCACTAAACCTGTTGTATGCTGGTCAACATATCTGACATTAATGCATGAACATTTCTAGTCAAAATAATTTAATTTAAGTCGTTGTTCATTTTTTAACTTAAGTTGCAGCAGTATTTTTTATTTTTCGCTTTCAGTCTCCAGCAGTACGTGTGTCAATGTACACTCACCGGCCACTTTATTAGGTACCCCATGCTAGTAACGGGTTGGACCCCCTTTTGCCTTCAGAACTGCCTCAATTCTTCGTGGCATAGATTCAACAAGGTGCTGGAAGCATTCCTCAGGGAGTTTGGTCCATATTGACATGATGGCATCACACAGTTGCCGCAGATTTGTCGGCTGCACATCCATGATGCGAATCTCCCGTTCCACCACATCCCAAAGATGCTCTATTGGATTGAGATCTGGTGACTGTGGAGGCCATTTGAGTACAGTGAACTCATTGTCATGTTCAAGAAACCAGTCTGAGATGATTCCAGCTTTATGACATGGCGCATTATCCTGCTGAAAGTAGCCATCAGAAGTTGGGTACATTGTGGTCATAAAGGGATGGACATGGTCAGCAACAATACTCAGGTAGGCTGTGGCATTGCAACGATGCTCAATTGGTACCAAGGGGCCCAAAGAGTGCCAAGAAAATATTCCCCACACCATGACATAACCAACACCAGCCTGAACCGTTGATACAAGGCAGGATGGATCCATGCTTTCATGTTGTAGACGCCAAATTCTGACCCTACCATCCGAATGTCGCAGCAGAAATCGAGACTCATCAGACCAGGCAACGTTTTTCCAATCTTCTATTGTCCAATTTCGATGAGCTTGTGCAAATTGTAGCCTCAGTTTCCTGTTCTTAGCTGAAAGGAGTGGCATCCGGTGTGGTCTTCTGCTGCTGTAGCCCATCTGCCTCAAAGTTCGACGTACTGTGTGTTCAGAGGTGCTCTTCTGCCCACCTTGGTTGTAACGGGTGGTTATTTGAGTCACTGTTGCCCTTCTATCAGCTCGAACCAGTCTGGGCATTCTCCTCTGACCTCTGGCATCAACAAGGCATTTCTGCCCACAGAACTGCTGCTCACTGGATGTTTTTTCTTTTTCGGACCATTCTCTGTAAACCCTAGAGATGGTTGTGCGTGAAAATCCCAGTAGATCAGCAGTTTCTGAAATACTCAGACCAGCCCTTCTGGCACCAACAATCATGCCACGTTCAAAGTCACTCTAATCACCTTTCTTCCCCATACTGATGCTCGGTCTGAACTGCAGGAGATTGTCTTGACCATGTCTACATGCCTAAATGCACTGAGTTGCCGCCATGTGATTGGCTGCTTAGAAATTAAGTGTTAACGAGCAGTTGGACAGGTGTACCTAATAAAGTGACCGGTGAGTGTATACGTAGAGAGATATTTGTATATTTAGAGACATTGCATACATCAGCTGGGTCCAGTATTTGGTTCACTCCATGTGGGCTTTTGTTTAAGAACAAACACAGTAGAGGGACTGGTTCAACATCACATTAGATGAGTTATTAAAGTTTTTCATAGTCTTTAAAGGCCAAGATATTAGTTTACAGACAATGTTCTTGACCACTGTCTTTACAACTGCTGAGAAAGATTGCATTTTGTTTTTTTTTATTTCTGTGTTTTTGACAATGCCATGTCACCTTTATTCCAGAACAATACGTCTTATTTTTTAGAACTCTTTGCCTGAGTTAGTTTAAGTCAAAATATCCAATGTTTCATTGACCGTATCATAGCTCTCTTACTGTAAGCTGCAGTATTTCTTCCTTTGATGTAGAGCTTGCCGCTGTCCAGGCACTGCATGGAACCCAAATCATTAAAATCAGTGCAAATTACCCACAGTGCAGTGTGGGTGCGGTTAGATCAATATCAAATAGTTCGACCAGTTCAATCAACTGGCACCTTGACAGCTTGAATTCATGGCTTCTCAATTATTGCAACACCATATAGTAGTAGTACAGTGAACGCTCTTTAAAAAATATTTACATTTCTAGATTTTACATTTTTGATTATAAGACTTCTGTTTTTAAATGCATAAACTTTAAGAGTTAATTTTATTTCTGTTTATAATAGTAGATTTTGATCTACATATATTTTAGACTTATAACTTCAAAGCTTTATTTATACGGTATTTACTGGTTTGCCAAAAAAATTAACGTGACTGTTAGAACTGTTGGTGCAGGAATTCACTGCGGCTTAATAGCTCCAACAAATTGCACTTAAAGCAAACTTTTCATTTTTCAATTCCTGTCTTCTGTTTCATTCAGCGGACTATGTGGTCAAAGAGGTACAACTGGATGTGCTAAGGGAGAACATCGGGATGAAATGGAAACGCTGTGCGAGAGGCCTGGGTCTGACAGAGGTGGAAATAGAAACCATAGAACACGACTACTACAGAGACGGCTTGCCAGAGATGGTGCACCAGATGCTGGAGCATTGGAAAATGAAAGAGGGATCCATGAGCTGCACCCTTGGGAGGCTTTTTCAAGCGCTTCAAGGAAACATAAAATTAGATGTCATCCGAAAAATATTGGACTTGTGTGACTCTTCTCAGTAGTTCCCACTTAAAAGTGGTCATATTATCAAAACTACAATTAAAGTTAATTTTTTAAGGCAAGCTGACTTTTGGGTTCATCGGATGTAATTATGTGATACTGGCTATGTTAACTGTAAAGGTAAGTCATTGAGTCACTGAGTTATATAATGATATCATAATTTCTAGTGATTATTAAGGTAAGTTTTAGTGAGCCCCCCTTTTAGAGATGCTTTAAAAAATAAAATACTAGCGCTAAAAGCCATTTTAAAACTTCTTGGACAAGTTCTGATAAGACAATGACCAAAAAAAATAAAAGAAAAAAACATTAACATGTTATTTTCTTTGTAGTTCACTTTACAGATGTTGTCTTGGCCAAACTGGTAATAGGGTAATAGGAGCTTTGTGCGTAGTGTTGGTGCAGGGGGGTTGTTATTACTTTTTGGAACAATAAAAACAAGTTTCTATGTTTATCCAATGTTTATTCCAGTCAAGTACAAACAAATGATGCAGGTTTCAAATTAACTCAGTGAGCATTTACAGTACACAATGACACAAAAACCTTACAACAGTATAAAAACCCTGCAGTGCAATATTCCTGTAATAAATGAATGCCGTTAAAACACAAGCTAAAACTTTCTTCCAATGAATTTGAAGCTTGTTGCACATTTTGTTTTACAAGAATTTAATTTTCCCTGAATGACTGAAAAGCAAAAGTAATCATTCATATTTTCTCATCTCTTAGTTTTAAGGGTCTTTGCAGGACTTACTATAATGATGTTGCATTATTTTGAGTTTAATGAGCTGTTTTATTTATCGTTAAAATTGACTACTTTTCATCATTTTCTTGAAATGGATTAAAATGTATTTTCTTTTAACGGACTTTGATTGAAGTATGTTCTATGTATGTTATGTTTATTTGAAGTAGAACATTATTTCTTCTAGAATGATGTTACAATAAATACTGTCCATTTATTTTTATTCTGCTAAACATATATTTTTTTCTCTATATTATTTCTTGTTTACTGGGTTTTAGAAATGAAGGCACATTTCAAAGGCTCCGGGTTCTAAAACTTCGCAATTAGAAACCTGAACTAGAAATGGAGTAAAAATGGAATTTCCATTGTGAAGACTATCCACAACACCTGTTATTGTTACACAAATGCAACGTCCTGTATAGTTTTTAAATGAGGATGCACCACCCTCTTTACAACTGCAGATGGCTCTCTGCACATAAAATAAAAGAAAACCTTCAAAGAAATAAAGTTGTTCTTGCTCGTGGTACTTCAAACCCTATTATGTGGCAATCACAAATGTGACACTATAGAATAGTGGGGAAGTATTTTCTGTTTTATTGAATATAAGTACAAAATATTAGATTGGAAGTGGTTTTAAGTTGTTATACCTTAGTGCTGCTAAAATTATTAAAACAGGCCTAAATATTTAAACAAGAAAAATCAAATGTTTGAACTTTAAAGCCTATTTTTAAATTATCTTATAGAAACCTACTTTTTTTTATATCAGGTGGTACTAAATTTGATAGAAATGTCACCTAGTTGATAAAATTCATGACCAAACCTTTTCACCTAAAACCATCTAGCCTGAATAAAACAACACTAAGTAACAAGTCTAAAACCACTTTCAAAGATAAGGACTCAGAAATGGATCAAGAGGTACACATTATTCAATATGTTTTTTTTCCCTTCCAGTTTCTGTTCATAGCAAAACAACTATTAGCTAAACGACTGCACAGATATAGAACACGGCTGATGTAAAAAAAAAAAACGACAACACAGGAGTATTGCATAAATTCCTGAATCTTGTTTAAAAAACATTGCAGGCTGCAGGGAGGACTGAATTATGAAGAATAGGTTTTCTCTGAGTTCCCTGGTTTCCTCTTACAGTTAAAAAGCAAGTTGTTGGTGTTATTGTAAAATCTACCATAATTATTAGTGTCTTTGTACATGGTAGTTTGTTCTGAACCTTTGAGACAATGGCAACCTCCAAGGTGTATCCCACCACCTAGAACTGGGCACTAGCAGGGCTCAAATTAAACTAAGCATGATAGTATAACTGAGTAGAGTTTGGTTTTCTGATGACTAGTTTCCTCCAACATTAAAAAAAAAAAAACAACAACCTAAATTTCCCTTAAATGTCCCATATTACTTGTTTATCCATTTCTGTGTTGAGCCTAATATGGAATAACAACTTGTAACGAGTGAGCCCTCTCACATTGACTGGTGGATGGATGGATGGATGGATGGATGGATGGATGGATGGATGGATGGATGGATGGATGGATGGATGGATGGATGGATGGATGGATGGATGGATGGATGGATGGATATTACTAGATATGGTAATATGTCACATATAAAAACAGTGTCAGGGCCAAGCCTCTTTCATGTACCTTGGAGCCATCTCAAAGCTGATATTGAAATAGTTTGTATCTGAAGTCCTTACGGTGGCTATTAGGGACTTCTTAGAAGGCTCATTCTCACACATCTGACCGATTGTTTGTACCACTGGAGTTTCTCTTTCGATTGATGAGTCTGAATTGGTGGGTAGATTAGTGTTTCCACACACCTGAGGATAGTTTTTGCAGCATTCGTAACTGTCCGTACATCTCTGGCACCTGAGATCCTTTAGGTTTACTAGAGGTGGCTGAGTAGAGGAGATAGATAAGGGGAACTGGTTGGTTTGTCTGTGGGCTATGTGACGTCTGAGCATGATGTTTGGTTTTGGGCAACACTTTGTTTGGCCCTTGAAGATGAGGCATCCTTTCAGACATGTTTGAAATAATGTACCCAGGTCCCTGTACATGATTCTGCGGAAATTAGGTCTCAGAATAAGGTAGATGATTGGGTTGTAGATGGTTGATGACTTGGCAAACATAGCAGGCATTGCAAACGCAAGAGGAGGGATGTCTTCTATTTCTCCAAAGGCAGCCCACATGGAAACGACAGCATAGGGACTCCACGCCGCAAAGAAGCCAATGCAGACAGCAACACTTAGCTTGAAAAAAACCCCAAAACACAAAGCAAAGTATTTAATGAACATTTTTAAATTACGGGAATAGTTAACTCAAACGTGGTCAATCTTGATTACTTCTCAAGAGCTGGAATGAAGTGAGTTGATATTTCACAATTTAAACTATAATATTTGGCAGCAGGGGTACACTGGTATGACAGGCATCCCATATAATCAGGGTTCACCTGGTCTCCATTATGAGCTTTCCTGCTGTCCAAAGTGTAACATTATAGAGTATTTGAAACACTCTTTGAATGTTGACTAGAAACTTGTTTTGGCTTAACCTTTGTGATGAAATAAAGCGTGGTAATGTGGATTAGTTCTATATGTTCAAACTGAAGTACAGTGGAGGATCTGTCATGCTATGGTTCAGCTTCTTAGTATAAAGGCCTTTAAGACCTTGTTGGAATGTTTTACAACTATCCTATTTCAAGTTGTAGCCGGTAATGTGTTGCATTTAGATATTTCAGCATGACTACAATTTTAACAATCATAATAAAAAAGACATGTATCAACCATTTTTCCGTAAAAAGGGGATTAGTCAAAGATCTGTGCTCCAGCTTTGTGAAATGTTCAAGAAAAATGCTTGAAAAGGTGAGGTTTAGAATAATAAGGGGTCATATTTAAGATTCTCTTTTCTTTGATTTCTTTTATTTTTAAGTTTTAGTGTGAAAAATTACAATAAAAATGTGAATTTTTAAATCTGCATTTTTACATGCATTTTTACTGTGAATGCCTGTAATTACTATAGAGGTTATTTCAAGCTAGGGAGATTTAATAAACTGCTAAAATTATGCTTAAATATGTTTTTTTCCCTCATTTGAAACTCAGGAAATCCCAGTAAAAGTGGTTCAATTATATTTCCTTTGTTAATTTTCTTTTTGAATAAGCTTTATTATCTATAATTATAATTATCTATATTATCTATAATAAGCTTTTTGTGTTTCCAGCACGGTGGGACATGAGAAAAATAGTAAATCAGTCTCAATGTAATTCAAGATTTCTTTCATTGATAATTTCATAGCTTTTCTCCTACCTTAATTATAATTGTCTGGATGCTGCTCATGTTTGTCTGTCTTGATGCATGCTTCTCCATGGTCTTCCTGGATGTTTGCACGGTGACCAGGATGCCTGTGTATGATGCAACAATTACACAGCATGGAAGGATGTAGCAGAAAACGAAGAGTGCTACGGTGTACGAGCGGGCTATGCTAAGCTTATTGGACAAGCGCCAGTCAATGCAGCAGGCGGTGCCGTAGGGTTCTGGTCCATACTCTCCCCAGTGGACCAGTGGGGAGCAGGCAAACAGCAGTGCATAAACCCAAGCACAGGCGATGAGCAGTTGGCCATGAAGAGGCTTAAACCTGTTTCCTATCAAAACAGACATAAACTGTAATTAATTATGTATATTATTAATAATCATTAATAATATACATATTGTAATATTATGAATGTTTATGAAATTTTTCACTTCAAATTAATAGAATATATTGGATGGTAGATGACCCCAGTCACACCTCTTTGTGTTTCTGGAGGGTCTAATACTTCGCCTTTAATATAATGGACTAATAACCTGGTAACTTCAGAATGTCAGAGTTTGACTGCATTCCATCTAAGCCTCATATGTCAAGTATTAAAATAACAGCTGCGAAGGTCTCAAGAAACAAAAAAGCTAATTTTAGGGCAACTTTACATTAATCAGATAGCTCCTCAAGTAAAACAACCTGATTTATACGGTATAGGTCTGAGGTAAACCAAAACTCTGCTGAAAGCTGGATCATCCAATATTCAGAAAGGAAAAAAAAGAGAACTGTATAGCACTGTCATGGGTCAAAAAATGTCCACCAGCTGAACAATTTCTTCATTCAGATATAGTAAAGGGAATTTTTCTTTCTTAACAAAGATCTGCGTCACTGCACATGTATGCCAAGGTTGTGTGACTAATGGAATCTCAATAGTCCAATGTTGCAGACCAGAAGAACAGTTAGGAGCTATGTTATGTTATTGGTGCTATTCGCCAGCACTAGGAGGACTAAACATGTTGCGTGTCAGTATTTCATGCAACATTTCTAATCCTGATTTAACTATGAGCAGTTATAATGAGATACGGCAAAGGCAAACAGTTTTTTTTTTATTTATTTACTAATGAGAACACATCTTTAAAGTCTGTCATCTGTTTATCCTTACATTTAACCCATAAATAAA